AACTTTTAACCTTCGTGTCGTGCATCATTACCAAGGTATCAACAGTTCATCAGAAGGTAAAATTAACAAATCAATGAACTGAATAAACTATTTAATTATGTGGCATGGTTGCATGACAGGGAGCACTAAAGTACGCCTTCAAATGTTTGGTCGATACATGACGATCTGACACCGGGAACAATGCGTGATTTGAGCACCATAACAATCTGTAAGCACCTTATTAGCTCTGAGGGATGCATTCAAAGGTTTTTGTAACGGAGAAAAGCCCGCCCCCCTCCTCCCCTTCCCCTTCCCCTTCCCCCCCCCCCCCCCCCCCCCACGACACACATACAACAAAAAAATTGTCCGCTTCCTTTTATTTAAAGTGTAATGCCTATATCACATGTGCGAATCTGTCAGCCGGTCGGGACATTGGGGGCATTTCAAAACCGTCATAATTGCGAATAAACCTATTTATAAATTAAGACATTCTTACAGATTTTCTTTAATACAAACACGGTATTATTAACGGGTTCAGAGCCATCTATCGCCAGATTCTTGCACACTTGGGCCGGTTGTTCAATGGCCGGCACACGGCTCAACCGGTATCCAAATATACTATATAGATGGTCAACACGCTGGTCACAAACGAGTCCGCGTCGGTCGACACTGCAGCAGGTGCGGGCACTGCGCGCGCGCAGAAACCATATCCCGATGAGATGACGCTTCTTTATGCATGCACCGCGCTGACAGAAGCGCCCTTATCGCCGTTGGCACAACCACGGAAAAGGCTTATCAGCGTTGTCTGCCCTATCCGTCCGTTTAAAAAGAACGAGCGCACGCATTATTGCTTTAGAGAAAAACCTGCCACGATCCTCGATCGACCGCGATAGCGGAAACCTGCAGCCTGCGAGCGATCTTGCCGTAACTATGGACATGGCACTTCAATTTCGTTTTTTCTTCTATTGATAGCATGCTATAGGTGCACCGGACGTAGGTTCCTGGACAACGCCGACACCACTTAGAATAAGCAAAGACCGTGTACTGGAACTCTGACGTCATCACAGCGAGATCGAGCGAAGACGCGGATTGGACACGAGTGCTACGTCATCCTTCGGCGGGGCCTCGCGTCCAATCGACGCGTCGAAGGACACGCTCGGGATCGGGTTCGGAACCGATCGCTGAGTTGGCGCCATCCGACTGGGATGACGTTCGGTGGACGTAGGGGAAGCTCTTTGCCGAGCTTTGAATATTTTATACTCTTTTCATCCTTAAGCTGAGACTGCAGCAAAAGCTAGAAGCTCAGCTTAAGGTAGTGCACGTATTTACTCGGGTCGTTCTTATCTCAAATTAAGTGGCGTTGTTAATTGGTGTCTATTGTTACCGCATTGTTTTACTACGAGGATTCAATTCAAGCCTTTCCCGCAGGAATAATCCCCAACGTACTTTTTTTTGTTAACTGTTTTGTCTATCATTTGATGTTGTTTTTATGTGCATCTGTTTTGCGCTTAAATAAAAAAAAAAATCGAACAAGAGAGATTTAAAACAGGTTGAACAGAAGCAACTCTTGTAAACAAATAAGAGCGTTGAGTTTTTTTTGTTTTTTTCTTTTTAAGTCCAAGTTCGTTTGTCAGTTACGTAATGTCCTGCTGCAAGCAAAATAAAACACAAAAGCAAAAGCAGTTCGTTTTCATCCATGTCACGCTGCGGTCAAATGCTCAAATGCGTATATAACCACATTCCATACCACACATTCTCTTTCTGACATGGATGAAAAGGAACGAAAGGCTCGGCATGCTGCGGCTCAGCGTCTACGCAGACAAGCACCACCAGAGCTTCGCCCCAATCAACATCATTCACCACGTGGAGATGCGGTTGTTTCTTTGTTGTTTTTTTTGCCCTACATGAGCACGGGAGCGCGTGCTCACGTGCTCGTGAGCACTAGCACCCGACGCCGGACATCAGACGGACATGCGGACATGGCTAGCCCCTAATAAGTTAAATTGAATTTATTGCATTTTTTTTATTGCCAGTCCGAATCCAAATGTGACTATGGGCAGGCCTTTACGTCACTGTATATGTTTCTTTGCGAGCGATAAATACTGAACTGAATTTAAGAGCAAGAACAAACCTGTGAAACGACGCTAAACAAGGGAGCTAAACACCAAAGTAGTGCAGCAAACAATAGACGTGTCTTCAAGAGGCCACCATGTCGGCACTGAAAGTGACATCTAACCTTTTTTTTTCTTTTTTTTTTCTTAATCTCATTTTTGGCCTATTCATTTTTGCTCTTTCACTGCTTTTTGGGGCAATCTCTTTTCTGTGCCATCTTACAAAAAACGGTGGCCAAATTGCTTTCATTTCCTGGTGAAATTACATTTATCATAACTTGCCTAAAATTCATGAAAAACAAATAATCATCGTAGAACCTATTTCCAGAGAAAATTCCCATTTATATATATATATATATATATATATATATATATATATATATATATATATATATATATATATATATATATATATATAAAGTCTTTACAATTATTTTGTCATCATTGAAACGAGAAACCCGGACAGTTTAGTTCTAAGATATTGCGAAATAGTTCGTTTAAAATTTAGTCTCCTTTTGTGTATCTTTTGAGCTTGTTCTTAAAGTCGATTGCCAGGTGCGCGTTTCACTCAGCGCTTTCGGGAATCCTGTTCGAGGAAACAAGGATAGCCAAAAAATATATATAAAGAAAATCGATTTATGAAATTACTTTTTGACGAGCTGGTTCGACCGTCTGTAGAGTAGATTGTTGGGCTAGTTGGTTTTGGAATTTGGAATACATTTTAGCGCTCAAAAAACAGGGACAAAGAGGCGAGAAACAGACAGCACAGTGCGCTACTAACAACTGATTTTATTACATGAAACGACACTTTTATACCATCTGGTATAAAAGTTTCACGACCTTTTGGCCGTGAAAATTTCGTAACCCTTCGAAAAGATGCTGAACCTCCTTTCCCTCCCACCTCCGTAACCCCCCAGATTGTTTCAGTGTGCCCCTCTTAATATTTTTATATTGTATGCCTTCGGCAACTTAATGTTTATATTATTTTATTTCTTTTTTCTGTCCTGCTAAATGAACTCTGGCGTCATTGCTCTGAACAGCGAATGCAGCTGTTTTGCAAACCCCTCCCCACATACTTTCCTGGTTGCATACGCTCTGCTAAATACTAAAGGTCATCATGGTTAAAAGTTATTAAGTAATTGACCTGAAATTAATGCACTTGAGTGGAAGGCACTACACCACTAAGTTACCTACCAGGCAGAGTAATGAATTACAGTGCTTAATTATTACATTTTAAATAATGAATTACATAACTTGATAATGAGTTTTTACATACCTTAACAAGAAATTACATTACTTACTAATAAATTACATTACTTCAGAATTCAAAAAAAGTTATTTCATTACATTACAGTAATGACATTGCGGCCCCCTCGGGTAATGACTGATATTTGAGCTGCTATGGCGGCATTGAGGCTCACATTGGAGAGTTCGTAAGCCACGCAATTTATTGTTGTTATATTGTCGATATTTCTGCATTCTATTCGTGTACTTCTGGCATGCCATCTGTTTTTCTCTCATAAACCTGTAGTGTTTGGCTTCTTTTATAGAATTACGTTATTTTGTGTTCGTTTCTGGAGATTATGTCTCGTTCATTTCCATGGGTACTTTGGCCACAAGAACAATCAGTATCAAACATTTTAAGATTCAGAAAACAAAGTACGGACTCTCGTTGTTTTCAGTAAACTGTAAATTCTAAAAAAAAAAAAAAAAAGAACAAATAAAAACACTTAAGTTATTGTGGTCACCAAACTAGTAAACTGACAAAAATAACAGTGCTTTTTACAGCAATTGTTAAATTGCGTTTTACGCCGAGCGTCCCAGTAATCTAATCAACGCGTTTCGATAAGGAGATATTGTGCAACATACCCCTACTGTATTTCACTTAGACGTGAATTACAGGAGCTTATGTATTTTACTCCCAGTTCATCTCTCTGATACTTTTCTGAAGAAAGTACAGGGGCTGATATCCAAGGCCATGTATCAAATTCGGTTTAGGGTAAGCGACGACGACACTCGCCAGAACTACATGTAGAACTAATAATAATTACGAGCCTTTGCTTCTATGACCAAAGGCTGAATTGTTGTATATCGTTTCGTGAACTAAGCCATCTTTATTGTATTGGTATTCATATCATAGAATCTCGTACGTTTAACGGAAACGAGGGAGTACAACGATTATGTTAAAAAGAACATTTGTTTCGAATGTACGTCATGTCCGATTGTAGCTTATTTGAAGTATGTTTCATCGAAGACAAAGATTCTATTAGCTAATTTACTCACCGCTCGTAATGAATTTGTTGCTGTTTTCGCTTTTCGGTTTTCAGTCTGCTTTGTGTGCACTGCAACTTCTTCAAAGTGAAGTTGTTTTTGTGTTCGCAGTGCGAAATATGATCATCCTTGTGTTTTCAGTGACCTTGCACTTTTTATTCCTAGCGTCTCCCCATCTTTCTTTTTTAACAGTTTTTTTTTTCGAACTCAACACTCCCCTGTTGCTGTGGTCAGAATTCTATCCTAGACATGTTTATTAAAAAAGGAAAAGAATAACGTGCGCTAGTCCTCATTTGGACCCTAATAGTATGTCCAAGTAAATGACGAACTATTCGCGAAATTCGCAAAAGCACCAAGGAGCATGTTGGGAATGTTGTAACACGCACTGCACGCGCTCGCCTTGTCCCTGTGAAAACTTTGGAGTGAATTACATAAAAAATGACGACGATGAATTTTTGTTTAAAGTGCTATTAGATCTAGATTTCTGCGTTATAAACTTTTTTTTTTAAATTCTTATGAAACAAATTTGCACGTGATGTGCGAGTAACCACGAACGCAGCATGCGTGCATGGGAATTTCCCAAATGGGGCAGGGTCACACATCACATAAACAATTCCTAACCAAAAACAAAAAAGTCACCTCGATTCTCCAGATGGTGAGCCCAGGCTCCTGTCCCGCTCCTTCGAACGCCGGGTCCGTGACGAGAACCATCTTGCGATCCTTCACTTGTTTACCACAGTCGCGAGGAAGCTCAAGAGCAAAGGCAAGCGGGACACCGGCTTCTGTCCAGGAAGAAGTGAACACACGCGAAGTTGCGAGGCGAAGGGGGCTTGTTCACTCGGCGACGTCGTCGCGTGTTGTGAAGAGGAAAACGGCACAACTGGTTTTACTTCGCCGACGATCCCCGAAGCAGCCGAAGCGGCCAAAGTGGGACGGGCTCGGGGCGCCGCCGCGTTGCCTGGCAACGATAAGTAGAGGTAGAGTCACAAAGCGTCGGAAGCTGTTTCGGTTTCGGTTTCTTTGCCATCTATTGGCTTACTTTTGAACTATTTTCGCTCAATTGCGAGTGGTCCCGCTAGATGGCAATCAGCGCCATAAGAGCAAATAAGCGGCAGAAAGGGAGGTTGGATGGGGTGGTGGGATTCAACTCAAGAAGGTAGGGCGAGGGTAAGACGGGCCGGGGAGGAGGAAGCAGGCGGAACCCTAAAGAAAAAAGGAGATTTCCCCGTCTCTTCTCCAGCGTTCCCGTCTGCTTCCTCCTACCAATATTACTCCAGACACGTCTCTAGATACGGCTCTGGATATGATTGTAGGTACGACTCTAGATATGGGTCTGGATATACAGGGTGTCACAAAAAAAAGTCTACAGTGTTTTTATCGCCGCAAAGATAAACTAGGCATCGCCGAACTCTCATTCTCCGCCCTAAGGTAGCGCTAGAGGTCACAACCAGATGCCTAGGATTCAGCCCGATCCGATACCTTATTCAAAAGTTATAAGTAATTTTCTGAAAAATTTAATGGGAAAATGGAGCCCATTTTTGCCCGTTTTCGGTTTCTGGTGCCATAGAGCCCCATGTATCCGAAAACTCCGTCGGCCGCCATTTTCCCGTTGAAATTTTCAGAAAATCACTTTTAAGGTTGAAACTTTGGCATCTGGTTGTGACATCTCTAGCGCTACCTTTGGGCGGAGAATGAGCGTTCAGCGATGCCTAGTTTTAAATATGACTCAAGCTATTTTGGTTTTTATTTCCTCACGTATTCAACTATCACTAAGCGACAGACAACTTCAGAAACGCAGGGCGTGGCAATTGACGTGCATATTATCATGTCCGCAGTCAAAGAGAATGTGGGATTGGCTGATAAGGACACCTAGGAACTAATCGCGCATTTTGTGTTGTTGTTTATTGCACAGAGGGGGGCCCGCAGGCCAAGGAAAGGGGGGGGGGGGGGGCGTTAAAGGAATGCGGAGAGTCCGGCGGCAATCAGGAAGCGTGTACGTACTAAGCAACGTACTGCGTTTGCATGGACTATACCAGTTTAAATTACCGAGCGGGTTAACAGCTGGATCGAACGCACTTGAAGCAATGCTCTAAAATATCGGTCGCATGCAACGCCACTGTCAGTCACCACGAAAGTGTGGGGCACCTGTGCTGTGCTGTGAAAATATTGATAAAAAACATGCCATCGCCAAAAATTACAAAGAAAAAGAAAAGAAAAAAAGAAGCGATTTGCTTAAATACAACGTCAACGAGGGTCATTGTGACTTAAACAAGGAGCGGGACAAAACGTCAATTATTGTCTCCCTCACTTTCTCTGTCTTTGCTAGATGAAACGACCCGTGCTTTTTCATTTCACTGTGAAACAGACAACTTTCTGTAGGTCAAAAGAAACATTCCAGGTAGTAATTGTAGCGTTTGTCTGAAACAAGTTATTAAACAAAAAGTAAGGGCGCAAACGAGCTGGTGTACATTGCACATGGTTGAAAAAACCCCGAGACTGCGGGTAAACGACACAACACTCAGGGGCGGATTTAGAGGGGGGATACGGATGTCCTGACCCCCCTGTTGATTTCTGCTTGTGTACAATTTAGGGCGTGAAACGGGGGAGAGGGGGAGGGGGTTCCTAAACATATGGCACTTTGACCAACACCTGACCCCCCCCCCCCCCCACCTCAGGAAATTCCTGCATCCGCCCCTGACAACACTAAAAAGTCTCTAGAGACTTTTTAGTGTTGTGTCGTTTACCCGCAGTCTCGGGGTTTTTTCAACCATGTACAAGTTATTACTTTCATATTTTCAGGAAACAAACCTGTCACACGGCCGTAGCCGAAACGGGACCATCACCAGAAACATGGACAGAAACGACTGGTCGCAATTAACTGCCTAAGCTTGTTGACCTTTCGTGGTCGTCGTACAGAGTCTGATCACTAATCAGTTATATTTTTCGTCGTGTTGTATGTAAGTTTAGACAGCAGGAAGTACATCAGCCCCAGTGGGTGTCTGGTGTCTCATCTATAGATGAGCAATTCAGCCAGCGCAGTACAATTACCGCTAGCCTGCCAGCCTGGGGTCTTTAACCTGCACCACGCAGTAGTGATACACGACCGCACGCCGGCACGATGACCTTACAGATCGAAGCGGCAGTTGTAACCCAGAATCCATCTGCAACGAGAGTTTTCGCTCCACGTGCTCCGAGCCGTGGCGCACGTTCGGCCACCAAACCCCCAGCCCGCAGCAACTTCAAAAATATTCGTTAGGACTCCTCTTTGGGAGATCGCATTAGAGCAGTGGTTCTCAAATCGCATCCTAGGGTTTCGCAAAGACCTGTCTCATCAGTCAAGCCCGGCAATATAAGTTGTCTTTTTTTACATTGAGAAGAAACGTTCCAATTTTTGTGTGATCTCGTGTGTGTATTTAAATGAGATAAGTCTACTTCACACTAGCAATTATAGTTACATTAATTTATGAAATCGTTATCATGATTAACCTACACCTTTCTGACATAAGTGATACATCAATAGGTGTTTTACGGTAAGTTAAATACGTTGCTGCTTGGTTATTTGAGGTTCGCAGTCACGTGTCTGTTAGAACATAAAGGTTGTAATCAATACATTGGGAATATCGCTCATTTGAAGCTCCAACACGAGCGGCAAAGTTTAATGCTCTCCAACACCCTTTAGATGTAGGATCCGAAGTGCCAATGAGTGTGGCGCACTATTTGTCAATCACTGTTAGGATCTTAGTGGGTGTTGAATTTTTAAGTTCAAAAGTGAAAAAAAAAAAAAAAATATGGGAATCAGTGACCATTTTTTTGCACTTTCTCATTTGCTTTTATTCAGTGTTTCTAGATACTTACTTTCAGATTGTAAACTACCATGAGCGCTTGCTTGCAGATCCTAAATCTCCCCTCCACCTCTTTCGATGCCCGTAATCGTTCTCATTGAAATTACACTTTATTTTGCACGCAACGGCTGCTTCGAAGACGCGCTGCATTGTCTACAAACAAAGTGATTGCGGGTTTCATCATCTGGGGACGAAAGTTAGACAAAGTGGGAGAAAAAGGGGAGGGGGGTTGTTTGTCAGTGTATCTTTTGAAGTTGAAGTCTGCTGCTAAACCGTCACCCCCATGCAGGTGTTCATCTCATATGGTTTCAATCAACACATTTTTGGCTCCGTCAAAGTATGCACTCAAGAGTTTCAATAAAAGTACATGCACCCCTTAAAGATACATAACTTGAAATTATAAAACAGCGAGGACGAGGACGTGAACAGGACATCTTTCATTCAGCAACAACATAGAATGGTACAACGATAAAACCGCCCCCCCCCCCCCCCCCCCCCCAGAGGTTTCAACGCTCTCAAAGAGGGAAAGGAAATAATTGTTATAAAGGAAAGGGAATTTACTATAAATATAAAAGTTTAAAAAGCGGCGGCGTCACGACGAGGTATCACTAATCTATAGTTATCTCTGATTACTTAGAATTCGACTCTGTCATTGTCAATGATAATGAAATGCAGACATATTGTTGTTTGGAGTCCCAAGGCGAAGTGTACTATAAATATAAAAAGCTCTGGCGTCACGACGAGGCGTCAATAATCTAGTCATCTCTCGTGTTAGGAATTCGACATGTTTTTGTCAATGATAATGAAGGTGCAGCAATGTCGTTTACAGTCCCCATGGCAAATGATTCAATGACTTCTCTCTCAAATCTGTTGTTGTGCAGCTACGAAGACGCAATTTCTGTCGATTTCCTTAAAGAATTGACAGGAAGGGCAGTCGTTTTGAATGTATGTACATCGTTTGTTGGGATACACATCCTACATAGATTTCAATCTTGCCACGGCCCACGCGCAGTTTGGTGGGGTCGCCAGTAATTTTTGTTTCTTGGTGGGAGAGGGTAGGGCGTGTCAAAATGCATGTGTATATTATCGGAGCTGTCATTTTTAACCCTGGAGAGTGGGGAAACAGTACAGGACAACTGTCCTGCATGTACTGTTTCCCCACTATCCAAAGTAAAATAAAAAAAAATAGTTCGTAATTAATTTGCCTGTACCTTGCATTGCCAATACCTGGATTTTTTTTTGAAGGGAAAAGGGGGGGGGGGGGGGGGGTGTCAAAAGTCTCATATCCCCCCCCCCCCCCCCCCCCCCCCCCCCCCACCCCACCCCCTGGCAACGCCACTGGTCAACATAGGGTGACCACCTTCCTGTTACCGAAATGCGGGACACGCGTGGTCGGGGGAAGGAGGGGGGGGGGGGGGGGGGTGGTTAGAGGAAATTTATGAACACTTACACAACGAACCAAGGCTCTGTTAATCCGTTGATTATCCTGTACTGGTTATACACCTGCTAATTGTATTGCAGCAATTAAGGTCTAATAATTTCCACTACCAGTGATATTTTTAATGCCAAACATGTTATAAGTGTGTCGAAGTTTAGGACATAACAGTTGACTGTATCATAACTCAATGCATCAAATGGAAATAATAAACAGTAAATCTTTTTCGGGTCCTTGTTTCCTGTCAACGCTTACTTTTACCAACATGGTCCTACACAAATGTTTTAACATAATGTTCTTTCTCGATCAATGCGAGTGTAACTGTTTTTACTAAAAAAAAAAGAAAAAATCCACAGCAACCCTTTTACATTGACATAGCAATTTGAAAATAATTATAATATTGTGTATTCAAACTTTTGGCGAGATATTTTTCTTACGATATTTTTCCACCAAAGGGAGAGGCACAACGGCGCATGCGAGTCGGATCTCCTGCAACAACCACGGTCGCTTCCCGCAATGCTTGGATAGAAAATGGCGTACCACTGCGATTCACATGAATACCAGTGACCTCGGCGTTTCCCCGTGCCCCGTTGGTGGGCAGTACCATGAGTTGCAGAGTAAATTTTACGACAGTGTGAAATGCGGGACATTTTGAAGATTTCGGAATTTCTCGCGAGACGCGGGACGCGAGCCCTCAATGCGGGACAGTCCTGCGAGTCGCGGGACGGCAACAAAGCCGTAGTGCTGATAGATCAGCGAAGGCCAACGCTGGTCAAAGATTGGACACGACGATTCCGTCAACGTTCGGCTCAAACTGGACTCGAAGCTGGCGCAGCACTTGTTTCCAATCTGTGTTCAGCGTTGGCCCTCACCGGTGACGCAAAAATGTCAGCACTACGGCCTTGTCTTCTTATACCCCGTTCCACCTTCAGTCCAAGCGCTGTGGACGCCATGAGCTATCCCAGCCAATCCAGCGCCGGGAGAAAATCGCGTGACCTGCCGGTTGGGCAGAGCGACGCAGGGAGTTCAGGGTCACATGACACTCTCTCAACGCTGGATTGGCTGGGATGGCTCCTGGAGTGCGCTGCGCTCGGACTGAAGGTAAAACAGAGCTAGGGAGCCTTCATGTGCGGCTTGCTAGGGTGGTGCCACCCTTTGTAATACCACTCGCCGACAAACCAGCAGCCATTTTGTTCCTCGGCGATAATCCGTGAGGCTTATAACCCTCCCGGAAACAAGCACCTTATCTCAGAACTTCGGAGCAGCGTTGTGGAACCCACGGAGGGAGGATTAGCATTTTCCCCCTCGGATGGGATTACCGATGGACACAAAGGCCACTTTCCGGCGCACGGGGAAACAATGAGAGAAACAAAATGGCGGTTGAAGAGGGTGTGGGAAAGGGAAACAGGCAGTTGGCCTCACTCTATGCGAAGCGCACATGAAGGCACTCTAAACAGAGCATAGTAGTGGTGTTGCTCTGGCGCACTTCGCGCTCCTTCAACTTTCACCATTATTCACAGCATAATGTACTCCGCAGTGTTTGATAGCGACCAGCCCGCCTCTTTACGACTTGAAAGTCAATAATGGTACTACTACCTATTATCCAAGAGTTCGAATCCCACCCATGCCTAAAAGCTATTTTCAACATCCGAAATTCCCGCCTTCCCGCTATATTTTTCCGACATTGAAGATGGCGCCACAAACCAAAACAGCAAATTTTGATGAATTACCTAATCCTCGTCATTTTCTTTCCTCAGTATTCAAATCAATAAAACTAAAATAAACATTCAATTATAGAAATTTTAATTTGTGTAAGTATTGATTTACCAGTGTACTTATTCTTTTTATTTTTTTTTCTAATTGGGTGGCGATCGTGGCTAGGGAGGCCCCTTACGGCAAACAGCTATATTATCGACGCAGGCGCAAAGTCTCGTGTGCTTTGCCCGTCGGAGGCACGTTTCGTGGGTGTCGTACGCTCGGTGTTGCCTTGCTCGTGAGTCCTCGTCGCCTAACCTCACCGACGTCGGAAAAAAACAGCACCAAGACCCTCCCGACTATTCCAGGCAATCGAGAACCCCAATATTCACCGTGAAAGTGAGCGAAACAAATTTTTGTTCGCGGGTTAGGCCTGTACCTTCCAGCGAAGAAAAAAAGCCAACAAACGAAAAACAAGTCACCTGCCGCAATTTTGACACCTGACTGTAGTGATCACGTCAAACACGTCAACTCAAGGCTCTCCGAGGTTCAACTACACGGTTACGAGTGAAGCAAACACAGACAGAAATGAAAACGCTTCAAGTGTTTACTGAAGCTCGCAGCACGCTACTGACTGCATAGTGAAGGTAAGAACTGTGTTTTCTTTCTCGACGACAGAGAAAAAAAAAAACAAGCCTATTTCGACGTCGGGCGGTGGGGCGTTTTACCCCAACACGCTCGCGTTTTCGCTCTATACACCGGCCGCGCTCAGTCGCGAAGCGATACACGGTTCAGTTGCGTGCAACTGACCCCCAATCGCTGATCAGTTCCTTCAAAATATTTCGAGGAAATCTCAGTTCTGACACTCCTATCCAGGTCTGTGACTCATAGCGATACACGCCCATCCTTCGAACGTTTTGTTCGCCTTTGCTACACCGTATCCCTTTTTTTATCGCGGAGTGAGACGAGCTTTCGTGTCGTGAACTTGACCTTCGAGTTGGTTTTTTTCTTTATTTTTGTGTCGCAATCGAGTATCTTCTTGACCACCTGTTGAAATAGACGATTGTGTGATTTGAATGCGAATCTCCGCTTCCTCGGCCGCGCAAAGGAAACTGTCCCTCCGCATGTTGTCTGATTTTTTTCCCCCCGTTCTACCAACTTATCGCTACAGGAAAAGAAAGGTGCTTATGTTAAGTGTGGTACGATGTAACGGTCCGTGTGTTTCGATCAAGGGCGGGGCACTCGGTTTGCGTGTAATTAAGCGCGACGCTAATTACGTTTAGAAGATCGATATACGACACTAATCAGCGGATGAGCTCGAACTGAACGTGAGCGCTGCTGTAGTTTTACCAACCGTCTTTTATACAAGGTTCGCTTCGCGTTTGGGTTTTTTTGTGTTTTTTTTTTGTTTTTATCTTCCACCTGCTAGACGGCAAACACATTTTCGCTACTTTGGTGATGCGCGCGTTCAGCTGTTCACCGAATACATCCCAGGCAAACAAATCGTAAATCTTGGCTGTCGTACTCGCTAGGTCGCAGCTTGGTGGGTGCCTCCACTTAAACATAACGAGAATTTCAGTCTTCTAACAGGTAAGTGCAAAAGCTGCTGCACATATGGCTTTTTAAGTCAATTAGTAGGCTGTCCGGTTGTTTTTGTTACACCGCCAGTGTCAACGTACAGTTGGTCTTAGTAGTTTTTTTTTCCTCTGAACTCGACGGAAAATAAAATGTTATATTGGTTCTGACAGGGAGAGACGTGTAACGATGCAAAAGATTATCAATGTAGACTGGTCAACACTGTTTTGATATCGTAAATGACTGAAGTTTCCTAAAACACGCGACTTGGGAAAGGTCGCAAAAAATGTATCATCTGGATATATCAGTATATTGTAACAAACACATAGCAGATGAGTAAAATTTTGTGCCCCCTCCAAATATTCCTCAAACCAACACTTCACGAAATTTTAAAAATATTGAGCCTGCAGAAATGAATTTGACTCCAGTGATCTGTAAGGTCATGAAGGAAACAAGCTTCCTCGTTACCATGTTTCATGTTTATTGGCTCATGAGCAACCTTACTGCATTGAAGGCAGCAATATTGTTTGTGTCATCTTTGGTGTGTTCTCTGGCCTTAAAATCTTTTTGTAAGGAGGACAGTGGTACTTTACATTTCGTGTCTCACTGTTTTTCTCCTGACCTATTGTTTTTGTTCTGGTTGAACTTAGACGACCAATTTCTAAGTGAACTTAAAAGTAATTTTCTTGTTTCTTAGTTCATGTGGTTCTTGTTGATGGTGACATTCCTTTCTCATGGTTTTGTTGTTTTCAGAGGCACCTAGACTAAGCGTAGGACGATGTCCTACCCATGGCTGACTCCATTGTGCGAGATTTCCTCGTCGACTGCAAGGCAAGTGCATTTCATAGAGCTTGTATATTAAATCCCGAGGAAAAAGTCTGCCATCATCCAATATTTACCTGTCTCCTCAAAACGTTAGGGCGTAGAGGCAGACATTGTTAGTCTGGTAAGCCAGGCTAGCTGGTGGAAGAAATCTAAAAAATTGCATAATACATTTTATAACAATAAGCCCACAATAAAATGTTTCCTCCTGTAGAGTAAATTTAGAGCTGCTCCTGTGGTTCCATCTGTCAATAAGTTTCTGTTTGCACAGATGTTTGTTCTGGGCACTTTTCCATATTTCTTTATTTGGCACTCTTCGGTTTTGTATAAAAATGAAGAAGAAAGGTGTCTGCTTACTCAAGTAAACGAAGAACTCTGAAAAAATGTGCATTTGTAAGTTAACTGAATAGTAGCATAGCTTGCTTTTTCTTTCAATCCCACTCCCTCCCCCTCCATGTTTGTTTTCTACGCTGTAAATTATGGTAACCCTACATCTGTGGTTCATCATAAGGTGAAATGGAGGATAGTTGTTTCTAGCTTTATTTCACACAAACACACAGGTGACTGGCCTTCTTAGAATTAAATGTTGAGTTGTCAAGCAGTTGAACAACTTCGTTACATTGCTGCACAGTGAGCTTGCCTAACCTTGTGTCTACCTTCTTTCTTTGCTCTTGCATCATTTCGTTTTCCTGTTCATTCTCTCAGAGCCGCCTAAGTGACTGTGGGACAATGCTTCGGTCTGTGGATCCCCAGTTGTTAGGTCTGAATTAATCCGGGCCGAGCCCTATGTAACAGAGATTTTGGTTGCACGACAGAAGATCTCCGGGTGGTCGACTAATCCTCAGCCCTTTGCCAGATGCCCTTCATTGATTTGGCATGTGAAACCCCCAGTTTGCCTTTCATTCTTTCTCTCGAATCTCGCCCTTGGCGCTCGCCGTTTACCGCTCTCTACTGCAGTCTGCCCCCAGGGTGCGCTCAACAGGTGCTGCTTTTCAGGACTGCCGTGGCTCTCTCTGTCAAAATATTTCTTTCCAACTTCTGTACTGCATGATTAAAATAAATTTTAAAAGCATATTTCTCACCCCTAAAAAGTCTCTGAAAAGAATCAACTGGTCTTTATATTTACTGTTATAACAACGGTACTGTTACAGTCATTGGTAGACTTAAGGGAAGGAGTTTTGATCGAAAGCAAGACCGAGCATAATAATTGTGACAATATGAAAAATATTGACCGTTTCTTCATGACAAATGGCTTGTATAAAGTATGGCACAGCTAGCACAAACAGGCAATCACAGATTTTCCTTTTTTTTTTTTTTTTTGCAGCTGAAACGTCATTGAAACCAGTGCACTAAAATCTTGTTACTCTGACAACAATATTATGGCAGCTGCCTTATGCCTGCTTGAATATGCATAGCCTACATGAGTAATATATTGTAGAGCCATTCCTACATAATGACCTATTCAGCATTAATTTTTTCCTTGCACCTTCAAAGATTGAAATGACCTACCCACTGAAATAGTAAACTCTAATTCTTTAACCTCATTATTAAACTGTGTAAGACAACACTTCAACATTGAGTGAATGCTAGCTTTGTTTGGCTTGTATGTATTTTTGTTTGCATTTTCTTTTTTCCACATCTTTCTTCCATACATTTGTGACATGTTGCAATTTAGATTGTTTTCCAATATAACCACGTATATGTTTCTGTATTATCATTTTTGTACCTTTCCTGGAACGGCTCTATACAAGGACCAGTGGTATAAATGAATAAAATAAAAATACAGTTGTTTTGATTCTAGCTCACAAGTTGTGGTTGGTGATGTTGCTTGAGAAAGTGGGTCAACATGATGACTGCACTGATATTGCGTCCCCTATACTATTGACGCCGGCTGTTCCTCTCCTGCAGACTGTGACAGATGCTGAAATCCACTCCTTTGCAAGCACGCTCCGCGAGAACAATGAGCTGATTGACGCAATCATTCTGGTGCTAGAAGAGAAAGAATATCATCATGAGGTGGGTACTTCTTTATTTTTCCCCAAAACATGCTCCCGGTATGAAGTGGGGGGGGGGGGGGGGGGGGGGGGGCACATATTTTTTCAGATTATATGCTATGTATGCCCACCATGCTTTTATTGTCCCATTTAAAGTTGCTTTGACTCTGTCGGCTAACGGTATTGGTGGGCTGTTCAGCCATACTCAGGGACAACTTTTGGCGGCATTTCCTCAAAATGTTTCACCGTAAAATACCGAGCAAGCGCCCGCACAATAGATGAAGTTGATCGTGAAAATTGAGAAATGGGTGCTTGTTAGGTCATCAGTTTTACTTATGTAAGTACTGTGCATATTTTTCAGATGTGGCAACATTTGGAGGTAGACACTTAGTGTGGAGCGGGCGGATGCTCGGTATATTATAGTGATCCCGGCTCCTGCATATTTTGCCTTCCGGCAGTCATTATTTTTCCTATGATTGGAACGATTCGTTCATCAGCATATTTCAACTTTTTCTCCTTTTCGAGACCATGGAAAGACGATTAAAATAAATTGTATCTACTAGATATACATGCATGAATGTAAGTGTGTTTTGCAACTTAGTTACGTTTCGACTAGTCGCCCTTTTAAGAGCAACTTCAGCAGTGCTGGATGGGAGACATAGCCTTGTGCACCCGCACGCAGTTCCTCGAGCCCCTGTGTGAGCAGCTCTTTGCCTTCTTCAATTCGACGGAGGACGCCCTTAGCCAGTTTGCCCACTTCTTCCTGCCCTGCGTGCTCGGCGTGTACTTCAGCTCCCTCCACAAGAAGGACCGCAAGGTGAGGCCCCCTGCGGCAACCCAATGAAACAACCACTGAAGGGACCATGAAACAAGTTTGCCGTGTTTTGGTAGCTTCAACTCACTATAGAAGAGGTACCGCAGCTTCCTATGGAAGAATGACTGCAAAGTGAACAAGTTGACCAATAGAGGCCCCAGGTAGCGGCATGGGGGGGGGGCACAGTAGAGTTGCCACCTGCGCAGTAATGTCTGACCGGCACGGTCATTGTTTTTCTTTATAAAAGGTGGTGGTTGCTAGTCTAGCTGTCATTTGCCTTTTTTTTTTTCAACGATCCATTTCAACGACCCAACGATCCTCACCCCACACGCGCACACGATTTGTGTGCGCGTGTGGGGTGAGGGGGGAGGGCATTTATAACTATGTTAAGCGAAAAATAGGGACTCTAACCAAAGGTTTATTAAACATTTACCCGACGTTTGAGAACAGTTCGGTGCCTTGTTCACTAGTGAGTGACGGAAAGAACACTCGTCGCTTAAATGCACATATGGGTGTATGAGGCTTTGTTGACGTCACACACTCCTGAGATGTAGCTGCTGTGCAGGGAGCCTGAAGAACAATTCACGTTCCCCTTTGTGCGTTGAATGAACCAAGACTCGACGAAGAGCCGCTTTCTCCCATTCTAGACCATCAACATTATCAGGCATATAGATATATGGATTGTCTATTTTGAGCTAATTTTGTATATAATGTCCTGATGCGGTGGAATTCTTTATTTAGGTGCAAAGAAGGCATCATTTTCCTAAAAGTCTGGCGCGTTTACTATTCAGTGTAACACATAGAAAGTCTTTGCGATTTACCGTAGGAGATCAGGGTACGGCAAGCAAGACGTCACTTTGAATCCGAGGACACGGTCCTTTTGTGATTCGTGATTCAAGAGGTATGAAAACATGCTCGCATTATACGAATTCACGGCTGACCATGAGCTTTCAAACTTGTGCCGGTACTCATGGTCTATACCTGCGTTCACTAGTCGAAGCTTTAGAACCAGCGATTTTTGAAAATAATAGATTTACGCTCAAAATCTGCATGGGGAAAATCATGCTCGGTGTCTCAGAGACATTTTTACTTGAGGCGTTATTTAATTGCTGCCATTTTTACGTAAACTGCCATAATCGGTTCTCCACCTGCTGCACGGGATGACCAGAGATGCGAGATTTGTTTTTGGCTCTTTAATTTTGGCTATATGGTATGCATCTATGTTTGTTACTAAGTTCCGTGTTGTGTATTCGTGTACTTACATCTGCTATGATGTATTAATAGATCTGTGTTAATTGATTTCACTTTAGGAGGCTCTTATCAAAATAAATTGAATCTGTGTATCAATTAAGACTGTCAACAATGCGTCTTTCTTTTTACCAATTCAATTCCCCCCCGGGAATGGCTGGTTTTTTCTTTGAGGAAAGGTGGCAACCCTAGGGGGACAGGGAAACAAAATTTTTTACTTTGGTTAGCTTCGGAGCAGTGTAGAGGAGGGTTTTTAAGGTGAGCGCAGCTTGCGGTACAAGCTCTTTGCAACTATGCGAGGGGTGAGTGGGCCATGAAACAAATCTTAAAGGGACCACGACACAAGATTTTCACTAGGGTTAACTTCAGCGCCCTATACAAGAAGAACCACGAGGTGAACGTGTTTTACAATGTAGACTCCATGGAGCAACCAAAGGAGTCAGCCATGAAACAGTGTATGAAGGGATCATGAAACAAGTTTTTTTTTTACTTTGTCCGACTTGAGTTCCCTAAACACGGGGGACAGAGATTTCCGGTGTCTGCAATATATGTCCTGTGAAGCGCTCCAAGGAGAGTCCTTAAAACAACTTTTAAAAAGATCATGAAACAATTTATTTCAACTGACTAACTTCAGCACTCTATAAAAGAGGGTTTGCAAGGTGAGTGGGGCATGCAGTACAGTCTCCATGCAGCAACCCAGTGGGGGGGCCATAAAACACTATTAAAAAACAATCGTGAAACAAATTTCTTTTTTTTTTTAATGTTTAGTTTTAGTATTTTATACGAGAGGCATGACGAGGTAAACAGGTCATACAGTATAGACTTCACGCAGGAACCAAACGAGGCAAATGAAGCAAGGTATAAAGGGTTCATGAAACTGTTTAAATGCATAGCATTCATAGGGCCAGCCCTTGGATTTATTTACTGCAAATATAAACTGTTATCACCAAATGCTCATTTTCTGCCCAAAATGAGCCAGGTGGTCCGAACCAGATGCCAAAGTTTCAGAACTGACCGTTATCTTATTTAAAAGTTGCAAGTGGGTTTCTGAAATTTTCAACGGGAAAATGGCTGCCGACGGATCTCAAAAATACACGAGGCTAAATGGTGCCAGTTACTGAAAACGGGCAAAAAATGGGCCCCATTTTCCCACTGATATTTTCAAAAAGCGTCAGAACTTTTATATGTAATGACAATTAGTTCTGAGATTTCGTTATGTGGTTCAGACCTCTAGATCTACATTTGGTCGGAGAATGAGCAGTGGGCGATGCACACTTCATTTTTACGCTGAAAAAAGCCCTGTAAATTTTTTTGGGGGGATACCTTGTACTTCTGGAGCAGGGACTTCCCTCAGTGTGTGCTCGACATCAAAACAAACTACCAAATTAAAATAATAATAATAAAGAAAAAAGAAAATGTTTCATTAACCACAGCTTAGTGTTTTGTGTGAACTATTCTGGGATTGGTGCATAATGAATGTGTGTTATGTCTGTCTTGCGTTTTACACACACTTTTTGCATAAAATATAAAACAAAAGTGAGTGGCCCATTTCCTATCCCCTTTGGAAAGCTGCCTTGGTGGCTGTGAGCAAAGCGCTGGCATACGGATACCTATACCCCGCGACAACTTTTCTTGGCAATGCAGTGGAAGGTACGTCCCGCGTCCCCTCTCCCATTTTGAGTGTGCGCAGGCTTTAATCCTCTCCCCGGAAAAGGGGGAGGAGGAAAGCCTGCATACACTCAAAATGGGGGAGGGGACGCGGGACGTACCTTCCACTCCATTGCCAAGAAAAGTTGTCGCCGAGTATAGTCGGCGGATTCGAATCTCGGCCGTGGCGTCCGCAATTTAAAGGAAGCTCATTGCGGAGAGGTTGCCGTGTCACTTAAGATTTCCGTTGCATGTCAAATGGTGTTCGAAATTAATCCTCCGTCCTCCACTGGGGCGTGCAAGACGCCCTTCATTGGTTTGGCGCACAAGACCCCCAAACTTGTTTTTCCCTTAGGGAGATGAAGGTTGCGTGCTCTTCACCTGTTAAGATGTTGTAGCACAACGAAAAGAGGGTTGCATGCACGCAGCATGCTCAGTATACAGGATACAAGGTGTGTAAAGTCAGCGTATTTGGTCTATCGTCTTGAAAATCTACCTTCGCAGCAATCATTCTTTGTTTGATTATTTGTTAGTTCATCTGACAGTGGCCTAATAGTTGCAAAGTGCAAAAATCAGATCTGGAGTCAAATATGAATCGAATTTAAGGGGAAACACTGGTCGGAGCTTTTTCTCTCAATTTTTGACTAAACCAAATTAAACTATGCATGCTTATGCAGTTTTTGTTGCCGATTTGAGATAGCTGGTTTTTCTATCAACCTGTAGTAGTACTCAAGATTATTACAACTTGCCCTCCTTTGTTGATGAGAACGGTAGGGAAAAAATTGCTCAACTATAAAGAATACAATGTTGGATGCACTTTTGAGGCTAAACCATTACCGTATTTACTCAAGTAATAGCCACACTATTTATGAACAAGGTCCTTGCGTTTACCTTACCGCAGAACACATATACAGCCAGTCATCGTGTTGCGCATAAATAACATAGCGAATAACTACAGGTTTTCCCGCTCATTTTAATCCAAGCGACGACCAATTTAATCTAAGTGCCACCTAATTTAATCCAAGCGCCACACAATTTAATCCCGGGGTCAATGACTTTAATCCACAATATATATATATATATATATATATATGCACTTATTGGGGGGGGGGGTCTTCAGTGGTTGTGTTTTGCTTACACATTTGGTAACTTAGAATAATTATTTATTCAGTTAGATTTTTGGAGGGACAACTGGTCATTTGATCACTATTGTGATTACCTGTAGTTACTAGTCCCACTATTGACAAAGCTTAATTGATATGTTGATTGCTCTTTATGTAACCTCGAGTTATTGTGGCACACTCAAATTTATTTTAGTGGGAGGGACGTTTTGTTTCACCTTTCTTATTACTCGACTTAACATTGCTACAGGTCGGATGATAAAAGTACAATTGCAATTTAGGATTACTCTTTTGATCATTTTGTGTTATTATTGCTCCAATTGATCTATAATAAACTCAGTTGATATTATTATTCCTCTTTAGATTACTTCAAGCTACTTTTTACCATTGGCCATAAATCCGAATTAAATGGTACGACACGACCACTGAAGACAATAAGTGCAAATATATATATTGTGGATTCAATTAACTGACCCTGGGATTAAATTGAGTAGCGCAAGAATTAAATTCTGTGGCACTGTGATTAAATTCGGTGGCACTTAAATTAAATTGGCCGTCGCTTAGATTAAAATGAGCGGGAAAACCTGTAGATCGAGAACACAAGTCTTCATACAAACACAATCTTCACTGATGGTATCTTCGCGCTAAGACGTTATCTCTCTCAAGTAAACCGCTGAAGTCACGCTGTCAATCGTGGTGATTGGCAAACCACGTGCTCTGCGGAAAAGCGAACCCTCAGGTTTTGTTCATAAACAGTGCGGCTACTACTCAAGTAAATACGGTATTAGTGGTTTTGCAACACATTGAACTTCAGTGTTTAATCTGTGGCCACCAGGTAATAAAACAATCGATCAATGAAAAATTTTATATGACTGTCGAAAAATCTGCTGTCAACATTGAATGCTTTGCACATTTAACTACATGTTGCAGAAAAAAATACATTTCTACCTGCACAGGATGTTGATATCCTCTCTGCAAATTTGCTAACAGTAAAGAATTTTGTGTTGAGAAAGCATATTTTTGGCATAAATTTCCATGCAAGTTCAGCCTGCATAAATATTATAAATTGATATGATGGCTCGAATATCGCTCTAAAAAATTAGGAACTTGACAGATCACAAGAAAATAGCTGCAGATTTCAAAATATTAATTTAAAAAAGAAAGAGAAATTGGAGAGTTTTTGGTGTTAAAGATTTATTTTCTCATGGCATTCTACTCATTCTAAATTTCTAATGGTTGCATATTGTCGCGGGCACAGCTGACCAAGTAGGCAGTGCGCTCATGGCCTCACGGTTATTGCGCTTGCCTTTCATGCACAAAGCCAAGGTTCGATGCCTGGCTGCGGGGACACATTTCTGTTGGCACTCTAATGTGGTGCTCTCGTAAATTTGAGAACCGTGTTGATGATTTGAGGTTAGAATGTTCTATGTGCCGGTCCTTCTACACCGATTGTTCCAGAAGCCCATGTGTGTACAAAAGGAGCTCCGCGTGGCAAGCCACTGACCGTGTGTCGGTCTTACGCTAGCGCCGGATTCTGACTCTTCGCCGACATCGTTGCTCGCTTACGACTCTGTTCTTTAACCCTTTGCTTTGGCACAAGTTGGCCTTAATTAAACCTTCAGTTTCTTCACCGAACGCCGTCTCGTCCCTTCACCTGTGACAATATGCCTATAAATTTGTTTTCAAGGTGACTATCGGTAATACCGTTGCATCTGCTGGAGCTTACCTTTTTTGACCATTCCTGTGTATTGTCTTCTCGATTTTGTTTTTTTTAAGCCACTTTATCTCATTCGTCTGCTCACTACCTTCTTTCTTTCTGCACCCCAATTCTTGTGCCAGGCCTTACGCTGTCTCGAGATTTTGCTGCTCGGTGCTTACAACTTGGTAAGTCTTGGCCACCTTTTCTTTTTTCTTTTTTGCTCTTAGACACTTTTGTACATTTAGATGCATACAAGCTTTGAACCTCTTTTAAATGAATAAACCATTCTTGAAACAAATTATAGGTGAAAATACAGTTGCCGACAGATTTTTTTGACACCCGTTGTTATCTGGATGTTCTCGCGGGACTGTCGCATGGGCCATAGACGTAACGTGTAACGGCGACCGCAGCTGCGAACATCATACTGCTCGTTTCGTAATACCTTGGGCTTGGAAAGGCGGGCTTACATGCTTTGGAGAGTGGATACAGTGCAAAGTCAGCGCTGCGTGTTTAGCGGAGGGCTATAGCACTTCGGTGCATCTGGGAACACACCTTTATAAAGAGCAAGTGACCTTCAACTTGTTAGCATCCGACAAAAACACAACATTACTTTTGTTCATTCTCGCTTCTTCAGCAAATCTTGGACAACGAGGGGAAGCCCACGACGAACACGTATGGGATCCCATCGATGAGCAAGCCTTCCATTTACCACGAGGTGTGTGTAAGTACAGGCAGCCTATTTTCACATCGGGACACGCACGCCCTCCGTGCTGCCGGTCGTCTGCCCCTGCGTAGTGTCATCCTCTTCCGCCAGCACCACCGCGGCACGGACACCAAAGTCACCGCCGTCGCTTCCCGCCTCGCTCCGCACTGCCACCATCACCGGTGATCGACGTCGTGCACTCTTGTCGGCGGTGCCGAACGATCGGCGATTTAAGCGAGACCAACGATGGTGTTTAGGATGAAGACGAGGTTGCGTTGAGTTTGTTTGGAACGGTTGCGTCTTGCGACCTTTGCGTTGAGGCTCGGTCTTGACCATGGTGTAAGATATGGGTGTGGATACTGCACGCATCACAGCTGACAGATAAAGTCCTCTCCTCGCCTTGGTTGCAGGCGGTGCCACCAGATGATTCTTCGATAATTGGCTAGTGATTGCCTGTCGCGGGCTTGGTTTCCTATGCTTCTCTAGGGGAGACATGCTTGTCTTCAAAGTTGTTTCCTGGCTGGGCCGCATCATGTTGAAGTTGACGCTTGCACTATGCGCGATTTTTAGGCACTGCTTTATTATTGACTTTAGTTTTGTGCCTCGACAATGGCAAGAAAAGTTTTATGAACGTGGTGGACCGGATAGATCTTTGGTGCAGTGTCCGTCGAGGTCGGAGCAGATTCGCCAAGTGGCAAGTTCATGTGCAGAGGTGCCGTGGCAACAAAACACCTTTTTGTTTGTTACTTTTTTTTTCCAGTTGCGCCGTTTGGTTGGCAGAATAGGCTACTGGGGCATGCACCAATAGGACTTTATCTCGTCGATCACGTTGCTGTGTGGTATGTCCACACCTATACACCAACTCAACTCACCTACGTCACGCCGCGGTGGTGGCGCGCCGGACGCACTTCCGCTCTGGGGCGGTGGGCAGAAGTCGCCTTGCCAGACATGCATTCCTGTGTTCCCTTGGAAGAAACGAGACAAAAAACCTGCCTTCTCGTCAAAATGCTGCGATGGGGGCTGTACCAAGAGAGTCTGGAAAGGTTTGAAGATCAGTTTTCATGTGTTTCTGCCCCCTCCGTTCGTCCGAGAACGTGGATAGCATCCGTGAAAAGGGCAAACCAGACGCTGTCGAACTACGATTGCGTGTGCGGGCCACAATTTGTGGTCGCCAGATGTATTTGCTTTGTTCCAACATGAACGAGAGAAAACCCCCAAGTTGTCCGGACCACTCACGGATTCAGTGCGTCTTCAAATTCACACGGCCGCCTGATCGTTCGAACTCTCGTCTGCTCTTTCAAAGTTGTCTGCTTTTTGTCGTCTGCTCTTTCAAACAAAAGCGGCCCGTAGACCAAACTGACCCGGTGATTGCAATAAGAAGTAATTGCAAGCCTCAAAAGACTTAAGTAGGATCGGTGTAAACAGTAGATACAAGATGTTAATTATTGGTACAGGTGGCCATCACCTACTTGTTACGCTTGGTCTGTTCCCGCTTCCGATTTTCAGTATCGACGTCGATCATCGCCGCTACCTTTTACACTTTTGCAGCACGAGCGACGTCGCGACCGAAAATAACTACAAGAATCTCATCATGGTTTTGGCGTCCATTCTGCAGCGTTCATGCGAATGAATCGCCGCACGTCAAACTATTTACGGAAAGTTTAGCGGCGTAACGAGCCTTGATAATTTCGCTCAGGCGATTGAAGTTGTAAGACCTTGCGATGAGGACGTAGAATCGACAACTCCAACGCGACAAAAGAGTATGCAGACTCGCACAGACGCCGACAACGTGACATTCGAATGGTTTGTTGACGCGGGACGCGGTGCTTCTTGCCCGTACTCCATTGCGCGTGCGTTCCAACTGTCGTCTGCTCTTTCAAACTTGGCTGTTCTTTGTCGTCAGTTCGTTCAAACGACAGCGGCCCGTAAACCAAACGTTGACCCGGTAATTGCGATAAGAACGAAGTGCAGGCCTCAAAACACTTTTGAAGGTTGGTTGGGGTAAGTCGGCTAAGTGTAAACAGATACAAGAAGTTGTTGATCATTGTTACCAGTGGCCATCACCGACTTGTAATGCCCGATTCTACTTGCGGTTTTCAGTATCGATGTTCACCATCTCAGCTACGGTCCACGCTTTTGCAGTCCGAGCGACGTCGCGACTGAAAATAGCGAGCAGAATCTCATCGTAGGAGTCAGGCTTTAGCGCCCATTCTGCGGCGTCCACGTGAAATGAATCGCCGCACGTCACATTATTCACGCAAAGTTTTGCCTCGATAGTTTAGCTGAAGCCGCTCAAGTAGTCAGACATTGTTAGGAGGACGTAGAATTAACAATTCCAACGCGAAAAAGAGCATGGGGACTCCCACCGACACCGACAACAACGCAATTCAATGGTTTGTTTATGAGCGACGGCGGGCTTCTTGCCCACCATCCACCGCGCATGCGCGGCGCCGGTGGCGTCCGCTAGGGGCGCTCCGGTTTGTTTGTAAACATGAGTTGGTGTATATATGTCTTACACCGTGGTCTCGACAGAGGTGTCAGCAGATGAAGCTGATGCTTCACCATAATGGCATAGTCATTGTGGGTGACGTTTGGTGTGGTGTCTACGATCGGGTCAGACCTGCACTTGTCAGGAAATCTTGGTTAGCCTGATTATGTCAGGAGATATCCCCAGGAAAATGTCTACTATAGCGTAATGAGATGGTTTCCGGATCAGGTACTTCTGAGGACAGTGGTAATAACTTGTTGCTTTCTGACGGACTTGTTCCGTTATTTGAAGACATGGTCTCGGTGAATTGGCAGTTATTTGAAAGACTCGAGGATTGCCTGAATACTGATTTTGTTGTTCTGTTTGAGCCTCGCAGTAGCTGACCGTTCGCAATAGACGACTGTTGTTTTCTCTATGAAAAGTTTTAGATGTTTTTTACTTCAAAATTCATGGAAGCGTTTTGGTTGGCACATCTGGAAATTGCACTTTTAGGGTGATGTGCTTTAAGCTAAAGCATCAAATTTTTTATTAATGTGCATTAGGAGCTGTAAACTTCTGATATCCGCTGACAACAAGCTCGCACCAGGTATTCTATATTCTTTTAAGTAGTCAACTATAAGAATTTTCATTGCAAGCCCTGCCGCCATAGTTGGTCTCACCTAGAATGTTGTGAGCATTTTTCAGCCCCTGTTAATATTTTCTATTTCGTTGGTTTTTGTTATTATTCAATGTTTCATGTATTTCTGGAACAGCAGAATTTACTGTGTTCTGTTCGTGAAAATGTGGGGTGTGTTCTTAGTGACTTTCCTGAAGACCTTCTCCAAACCCCTCTCTGCATGGGAAGTATTTTGGATGTCTGTTTTTGCACATGAGGACATTCTAGCTATCTATTTACTTGCAGATGTTGGGGGTTCTTGACAAATGCAGGTTTTCTCATGGGGAACATGACTGAGAATACTGTTAAAAGAATACATATAACAGCTGATTTCTACAGAAAAGTTTTTCTGTAGAAACCTTTTGAAATGAAAATTCAAAGGGAACTACTTCAGCTTTTCACATCTATTATAAGCATGGTTCCAGCTTTTTAAGTTTATAGTTTGTGAAATTCGGAGCATTTGTTTAAGGATTACAGTTTGAGAAGCAAACCTGCTGGTGTTTACTGGAGTCTACATCTGCTAAATTCGGAATTCTCAGATGTTTGGCATTTATCAGAGTTTAATTTTGTTTATTTTCAAGTCTCCAAGGTTATAATACATTTCTTTCTTCATTTCTGTCAGTTTCGATGGTCAGCATAAACCTTCGACCCATATGAATTTTTGATCAAAATTCTCTGCATCTAGCGAGTGCGTGTTAACAGATCAATTGGTTTCTTGAGTCCAGAAGCACCAATGATGTAATACTTGTATTTGATTTGTGTACTGCTAATGTCTCTAATGTATACAACCCGTGTCCTCTTCTTGGGCATATCTTCAACTTCTTACTTCATCAGCCACCAGCACAGTGCAGACTCCGTACACTAATTTATTCAATGATAATGATAGTGATCAGTTTGGCCAGACTAAATTTCAGAAAGGGTCTGTTGAGTCAGCACCTTGGCACAATGGCCTGCTGCCCAGTGTTGTCTTCTCGTGTGCATGTCTGTTTCAAAGTGCAGCATCACTCCACTCCAAAAGATGTTGGGGTTGTCATATTTGTTTGAAAATAAGGTGGTTTCTCATCTTTTCTCAAACAGCCCTCAACAAAGTTTTTTAATCTTTTTTTGGGGGGGCTACACACGAAAAGTTTATTGTCGCAATTTACAGGGGATGATCAAGCACAGATAATGTCTGGGTTCCAAATAGTGACCTGTGTTGAACCTGTGAGGGATGTTTGCAAGCTCAGACTCTCAGCATGGGCAACCTTAAGTTCAATCATGAGTTGTACCTTACCATTCGCTGTTCCCCTTCTGCAAATTATGTGATCGGCTTTGTGAAAGGGATAATCACTACAATGATTGGCTTTACTGAGAAGTCCTGTGGGATGATCGGCTTGGCATAAAAGCACTGCAATAAGAATATTCCATTTGAGCAATTATCAACTCGGCAGAAAGGTATACATGGAGACTTTGTTTTCCATCTTATCTTTTTCAAAGAGAAAAAAGGTTGCCAGAGCACCTATACTATGTCTGTGAAAGTAAAAACACTTGTAGACTTCCCACACAAAAATGTGATCGCATGGGACAATGCCCCTCTCGAGAAGACAAAATCTGGAGGTTTTGGACAAAATTCAGTGGTTTTACGTACCGAACCAGCAAAGGGCATCTGGCACACCCTAGCAGAAGACTGAGGATCCATTTCGACCACACGACAATCTTTCGATGGGGAAGCGAAATCCCGGTTATGCGGCCCTTCTCCGCAGTAAGCATCCGTCAGATTGCGGGCACCTCGCCTGGGATTCAAACCATCCACCTGGGGATCTATAGGCCGCCGCTTTGCCTCAGAGACGTTGAGGTGGCCGAGACTCCTTGTAATTTTCCGATCGAGGGCACTGAACATTTGTGGGAAAAGGTCTTGGTCACTTCGGTGGCGTTATCTTGACGTACAACATTTTTGGTAGGGGCATCGAAGAATTAAATTGGCAAATGGTACATCCGGGTCAGGCTGTGTGTATGTAGAATTTCGCTGCCTGGATGCTTGGCAATTCTGCGACTGCTTCTCGGCTTCGTAGTGGCTTCAGCTAGATAGTACTGCTTATGGTGGTAGTCAAGAATTTCTCTGCACTGAGCACAGATGAGATATCGGTTCTTAGTAAACTCTGTATGCCACTTGTATGCTCTTACCTGTTTTACAGCCCTTGACGGGTTACCTTAGCCAGTGCAGCGAGTTTACCGTAGAATACTGTGCATCCGCACATTCCACATTAAGCGCCCATTCCCAAATTTCTAAGGTCTGAGAAAATATGCACAGCAGATTGATATGTAAAATTGATGACTGGACAAGCGCCCATCCCCCATTTTTTCGTGATTATCTCTAAATTTTGAGTGGGCGCTTGTCCGGTATTTTGCGGTAGGCTTTTTCCAAAGTTGGCTTTGACTGTTGCCAAGGGAAACTCTTTCCACTTGTGTTGACCCCAAATACTTTTGTTGCAAATGTTTGTAGCGTGAGCAATTACCACCTAAAGAATATTGTTTGCCAACTTCATGTTTTTTAGCTGTAGATGGCCTAGCTTTTGCCATCAAGGTTCTTATCTAGTATGCTAGTTTTCTTAATGCACTGTGCTATAGTCTGGGGGAACACTGGTCTTGGAGCTTTCTTGCTTATTTTTTTGGCTAAGCTGAATGAAACAGCACAGGCTTGTTCAAACTTTTGTGCTAATTTCAAATATCCGTTTATTTTTTTAAATTAGTAGTTTAGTTCTGAGGATTATTATGATTAACCAGACTTTGTTTCCAAAAACAATACTAGTGAAAAACCATTTCTAAAAAATAATGTTTTAACATATGGTCAGACACTACAAGAACAACAGAATGTTGGAAGCACTTTTTAGGTTGAACCATTATTAGTGACTTTACAACACATTGAAGTTCTGTGCTCAATGTGTGGCCACCAAGCAATAAAACAGTTGTTCAATTAAAAGCTTTTCTATACTTATATTGAAAATTCTGCTTCCAGCATTGCATGCTTTGCACATTTAGGTACATGTTGCTAAAAAAGTTATTTCTGTCTGCCCTAGATGCTGAGATATCCCTCCTAAAAATTTTAAGGAGTTTAAAACTGCCGTTTTGAGAAAGTGTTGCTTTAGCATCAACTTCAGTGCAATTTCAGCCCACATAAATATTATAGTGACATAATGGCTCAAATATTAATCTTCAAAATAAGAAACTTGTCAGATTAAAAAAATAGCTGTAGATTCAAAATTGACATTTTCTGCAAGGCAGTTCTTTAGGAATTTTTCTTTGACTCCAAAGATCATGTCTCCCCTTAAGACTTTGATCCAGTACTGTACAATACATGGGCATGAGTTCTAAATGTGCCTCCTCTTTGAGTGTTTGTGCAAATGAAGCATGCTGCAGAACAGCCCTCTTGTGCCTTTTTTCTTTAATGGCCTTGCACTCAATTTCTGAGATGGAGCATAGGCTGCTAGTTTCTACAATATTTTCTGTTAACCCTTTTATGGGCAACTTTTATGAGACCCCGTGGTGAACTTTTTTTTGTTTCTCTTTCGTATGAAAATATTTTAATAAGAACCCTGTGCGAAGTTCTGATTTTTTCCACAAAGCACAAAAGAGGTGCCAGGGTGGGAAATACGCTTTGCATGGCCCAGCAGCTGCTCAAAAAATAGTCATACAATTTATTTTATTGTTGAAGAGAAAAACTGCAGTTGTTGAAGATCAAGTTTCTGCAACTCAATGCACTCTCTTCTTTCTGAAAGCTGTCTAGAAACAATATATTTGTTTCTTTCAAGAACTGAAGCTCCGAGAGCCGCGTGGGAGAAAGTTGCTGCTAGGCCAGGGGTTCTCAAACTTTTTTGTCTCACGGAACCCCAGGAAGCCTCAAAGACTGCCGCGGAACCCTCCCCGACCTCCATATTTGCCGACCGAGAAGCAACAGATGCACAATTGTAGGCAATTTTGCTTGTGTCGCTTCCCATATATCCCCACCATATCAATCGCAATGTCAGTACAAAGTGAGATGAAGGTGCTTTGCATGGTCCTGCTGCGCAGCCTGCGGCGTGGGGGGGGGGAGGAGGAGAGGAGGGTGAGGGGAGGGGGTTGCAATTTGGGTGTTCACGGAACCCATGAGACCAGCTCGTGGAACCCTTGTGTTCCCCGGAACCCAGTTTGAGAACCCCTGTGCTAGGCCATGGCAGCTGTACTTCCCACTTTGACAAATACCGAGCAAGTTGCTTGCAGCCAGTGGCGTAGCCAGGGGGGACATGCATTTTGCTGGATAGCACCAGTATATATATTTTTTCTTGTTTGACATTTCTTCTGCTCTATGGCGGCACAGTACAATGGTGGGAGTTCGCCTTCCCTTGAGCCCAGTACAGATAAAGCGTGAGTGAGAAGTACATATCCCACTGCCCATGAAAGGGTTAGGTCAAGATTAGTCTTCAAGCTTTTACAAGAAGCTTCCTGTAACCAGACGTAACGGTGCAAGTTACCGTCCAAATGCTACAACAATGACAAGACCATGTTTTTCACGTAAACAGTTACTTTATCAGATCCTATTACCCTAAGAAAATTGGGAGAGTTTGCATCTTTAAGGTTTGTTAAGGACTATGTAGTCACTCGGGTGACCTTCGCAGGCATAGAACAGCTTTTGTGTAGCTGTGACGGTCCAGCCCGTCACGACAGGCACCGGTTATTGCTTTGTCGCGATAGAAAAGCCGCGTGGTGCGAGCCGTCTTCTGACAAAGTATTCCGGTTTGGCTACCTGCAGCCTACCATGCTGCCGCAGCTGCAGCTGACGGAACACATGCTGAACAAGCTGGAGCATGGCGACAACAAGGTGGTCCTGGGACCCTACCCTGCCGTGGACTGTCTCAGTGCTAGCAATAGGTGGGTCTTGGGGCTCCTGGCCTGTTAAGATCCCTAGCCTATTTAGACTTTTGGCCCATTAGAACTCCTGGCCTATTAGGACTCCTGGCCTGTAAGGACTTCTAGCCTTTAAGACTCCTGATGTGTCAGGACTCCTGATTTGTTAGGGCTTCTGGCCTGTCAAGATTCCTAGCCTCTCAGGAATCCTGGCTTGTTATGGACTTCTGGTATGGATGTAGGAAATTTTTTTTTAAAAAAGTGTGTCTTATTTTTAAATTGTGGAATGCTCGAATGGACTAAGAAGAGGAGGTGGAGGAAGAAGTATTGAATAGTTGATAGTCAGCTCTGTATATGCCCTGTCCTGTCTGTGTGTAATTGTTTAATGTTCAAGCTGTTTCCTCGTAGACATGTACCAACTAGCTCAACTCAAACCGGTAATTCAGTGACATGGCATGTCTGCTTGCAGGTTGCAGGTAGCCATTGTGCTTTTGCGTGTGTACAACCAGGTCATCAGCACCATGCCCCAGTCATCTAGGGCTTCCCTCTGCAAGATGTGTTCCAGGTAAGATGGGCATCTCCCGTCCTCAGAAGCCAGGCTGTTCCAAAGGTCAAAGCTGCTGAACAGTCCAGCAGCAGTCTTGCTTGAATGCTCGAGGGCAGTCCACCTGCTCTCTGGCATTAGAATAAAGCGGCATGATTTAAAGGAGTGGCTATACCTGTTTGCACCTCAAGAAAAAAAGAAGTCTTGCTCTATGTTCATGTGCCGGACGAAGTAGTTTTTTCAAGATTTGGTTGTCGGAGGCAGAAGCGATGCTTTTGGCGTTTCAAACGTGTACGGCTTGATAAAGCAACGTATATCTCATCTAAAATGAACCTACATATATCTCAATTTTGAGCATAAAGAGGAAAATTAGTAATGCGCTCCGCGAGAAGCCATACTTTTTTTACTACGATTCTCGAGGTGAAAACAAGTATAGTTACAAACGCGTGAGTGGTGAATAAGCAAATAGTTGCAGTTCTTATTAGCAGACTGCACGTATTCTAATACTGCGACTTTGCGGATATGCAGCAGCACGGGGCCCTGCTTGTCTGGTAGTTCCCTTTTCTTCAGCGACCTTTCCCACTGCAACCCTCAAGCAAAGCGAGGGAGGAAGCAGAAGCACCCACACAAACATCAGATCACTCTGGAGCAGAAACTAAAGAGTGTGCAGAAAAAAGACTGCTGAACCCCACACAATCTCACACATTCTTGTTCTGGTCCCTTCGCACAGACAAACACCTCGTAAACACGGTGGTGGTCTTGGCTTGGCCTGTGTTGACTTCGCCTGGCTTGACTTGGCTTGAATTGGCCAGTGGCCCATATTCCCGCGCATAGTACGCTGTTTTTCTATGGCGTGCTTGCACAAAGGCGATAAAAATTGCTTTTTGTGTCTTCTATTCCCCCCTTCACGTGGCCCATTAGCTTTTAAATTCCCTCGCGCACCCCCACATATTTTCCGACCGGATCTCCTGCTTTGAGCGGAAGGGAGGGCTTTCTTCAGACTTGTGTGTCTTGTGGCTGAACTTGATTCCGAATATGACGCAGGTGCGTTTTGAAACATGTAAATTCAAAAGAAAAAAGCAAAAAAACAAAACAAATTGCATTATATTTGTGCAAATACGGTATATTAATGTTGATTTATGTATGATACAAGGTTCTTTGTGAGCTAATACAGTAGGCATTTGTCAAGGTGTGATGTGTATGATAATTTTTTACGCTCATATTAGGCACTAAGTAAGGACTATGCACAGCGTGCGGACTATGCAGCGGCTGTAGACTATCGAAGCAAAATCTTTTTTTGGGGGGGGGACCCGAAACTTGTCCTTGCGGTCTATAGTACGGAAAATATGGTACTACCCTTCATTGCTTAAGGCGCTCATTACATCCAGGTTTAGCTTGCTAATTCATTCTTTAAGTTTACACTAGCATCATCTTTAGGAGGTAGCACCAGACACTGCAAGAAATATATTTTAGAGGTGGTGCCAGTGGTCGCCACATATCCTTTATGAGCATTGTATGTTTCATCTTTACTCGTCGTCCACTGTCTAAATTTTCATGGATAAACAGTACGAGCTCAGTTGTGAATTGCTTAAAGTAATGGACTCAATAATTTTAGGCGTCCTTACTGGCGGAATTATTTTTTTTTTTTGCTACGCCAGAAACAGTTGTAATTTAAAACTCAATTTAAACATACTGACGGGGCTGCATAGCGCCATTTCTCAAGAACCCGACAAGGGTGCGCGTAATTTGGGCGTGCAGTGTGCATATTGGCTTCTTCGGCGATCCCTTCTCCTGTCTGGCTCACACCCTGTCTTAGAGCCAGTCCGTGGAAACGCAGCACCAACACGATTTTCTCTTCCGTTTGTCGAGGTTGGTGAACCAGGGCTCGTCTCATGCCAGCCGACGCACATCCTTTGAGGGAACCCTTGCCCCTGCCTTCCTGCCCAGAGTCTTTCTCAGCTCACAGATTCTCCTGGAAATGCTACAAGCCATCTATTTCTCCATGTAAGTGGGTTTTCACATGCTCTTTGTTAATAGGTTTGCATGTTCTTTATGAGAGTAGGTTTGCACATGCTAGGGTGCATGGAGTGCAGTAGGTCCACACAAACGAGCACAAACTTACTCGCATGTGCTCCGTACGAGTAACTTTGTACTCTCTTCATGCCAGTAGGTTCGCACATGCTCCACATCAGCACGTGCAAACCTAAGGGTAGTTACCGTATTTACTCGAGTAATAACCGCACTGTTTATGAAGAAAACCTGAGGGTTTGCTTTTCCGCAGAGCACGCAGATGGCCAATCACCGCGATCGACAGCATGATTCCAGCTGTTTACAGGACAGAGATAATGTCTTTGTGCGAAGATACCATCTGTGAAGATTAAATTTCTATGGAGAATCGTGTTCTCCATTTGGTTATTCCCTGTTATTTATGTGCAACACAGTGATTGGCTGTATATGTGTTTTGTGGTAAAGCAGACGCAAGGGCCTTGTTCATAAGTAGTGCGGCTATTACTTGAGTAAATACGGTAATCTCGGAGCAGTTTTGACTCATGGTGTGTTGTTAAGTGCCACTAATGTTTTTATTTGATTAGAGAATACATACAAGTGATGTTTGACTACATTTCCTAACCTAGGGTAGCAGTAATCTGGCAGCGAGCTAAAGTGCCCCGTGTTTCACTTTTATTTTTTTTAATGTAGTCTAAGCTCGTAATAACAGACCTTGATTTTGACCGAAATTTCGGTCTGCTGTAAGAGCCGTACGTTGTATGCAGATATGAAGTTGAGTCAATGGTATGTAAAGGAAAACCGACCAAACTTCACAAATCGGTATGTTATATCCAAATGTCTGTTGTAACAAGGTATGTTGTAATGAGCTTAGACTGTATCTGGGTTAGATACTACATCTAACCCCAATGTTGTAATCATGACTGAGCTGGGGGGCCCAAACGTTAAAACCTCTGACCTCAATGTTATAATCTTGACTGTGCTGGGTGATCCAAATATGATCAAGAAAAAGTTCCTTTGCACTTTTTTTTATCATAAACACTTGCACAGCACCATTGGCTTTGTTGGACAAACAATTTGGGAAGAAGGAAAGCCTTTTCCCGAAATGTTTGCCCAATAAAGTCCGCTGTTTGAACTCTTTTCCATGTTCTTGACTTTCTTAGTAAAAACTATATATGAATACATTTAATTTTTTCCGGTTCTTTTGTTAGGAATGGAAATAAGAAGGAAGTGCTTCTATGCCTTGTGAGGCAAAACATTGACCGTCCTTCTTGTGTGCACTCTCTTTTTCTGTCCAATGGCTGCTAGGTTCAACGGCCTTTTCAGTCTAGGACACCAGGCTCTGAACGACATCCACCGGCGTGCCATGCAGAACATGTTCACCGACGTGCTTCTGGCAAGTGCCTCGCTCTGCGCCATTTTGTGGCTTACAGTTGCTTGGTCTTGGGCAGTTTATAAGTCTCGGTTTTTAGTAACCACCTCCAAGAAATGTGATAAATGTTTGCAAAATAATTTGTCTCACTATTTGGTAAGTGTATTATGCTGCTAGAGTTTGTTTTCATTTATGTTGTTCAGTAAAACCTCGTTAATATGTTTTTCAGGGATTGCAGAAAAAAACCGCATCACCCGGGAAAACGTAACAACCGATAATGCTGTTGGTGGGGCTACAGATGTGACGGGAAGCAACCCTCACACTGGGATTTTCTCCAGAAGGACTTTGGGGGTTCGGAGAACTACCATGTTAGTTACCATATAGCTGGGCATTCTTTTTCGGCACAGTTGTTTAGAACTGGCAGTCAACCTATACCGTATCTACCCGATCAAAGCGCAACCACGATTGCTACCTCGAGGGGCAACTTTTCGTATTGCTCAGTGGGGAAAACAGAACCACGAATGTCGCGCGAGGCTAATAGAGAAATAAAACGGTCCCTTTATTTTGCTAGAAAGCGTTTCCGGCATGATTTCTGACAACTGCACTCATTCACGTCGAGCAGCGGCCAAGTTTTTCTCAGCTCTTGCTCCACTCCCGAAGTCGAAACAGGCGTCACACGGAGCCCACCGCATCGCCATCAGTTCCATCAAAACTTCCGACAGGAACGGAATCCGTCAAGATCCAAGAACTAAAACACGCGCTAGGGACTAACGCGTTAAACTTTGAAATCTTTGAGCTGGTTGGGCTATGCTATACGGACTCTGATCGTGCCATTGCTCGCTTGCTAGCCGCAATGGATTCGAACTGATTCGGATTTGGATTCGACTAGATAATTTAAAGAATCCGGCAGAGAGGCAAACAGTGCCAACAGAAGACCGAAAATCTGCTGCGCGCAACCCAGGAGTGTGGGTTCGGGAGCGCCGAGGGGCAGATTTTGGACGTAACAACCGGGAAATCACACGTAACACTCAAGAAACAAGTACATGTATCTCAATAGGAGTTAAACGGGACCGGCGCTCGTAAACATAACAGCCGGGAAAACGTATCAACGAGATTCTACTGTATTTATGTTCTCCCGAATTAGATACAACAGGCTCATATTTGTTCAGTATTGGTGCCAATGCATAGGAAATACAAATGAAACGGTACATAAAAATCACACATTCTTTGATAGAGATCTAACTGCAAAGCTTGTCGTTCATATTTTGCTGAAAAACTGACTTTATCCAGAGTTGCTTAACTGTGGGGGAATCTGTAGATCCTAACCCTACATTTGGAGCCATTTGAATCCTTGTTAATATTAATGAGATGTTTTTGCGAGCAAAGGGTGAAGTACGTTTCCACAGAATCTATTGCGAGTTGTCGCTTCTGCGACCTTTCCGACCCTACATGGGGTGGGTTGACACGGCACATTTGCAGCCATCTAAGAACCACGGACAAAGTGGACATTAACAGATCACTAAGGCCTACACTTTGCAGCGATGTAGCTTCTGTTTTTACCCGATTCTAAGACAACCATTCTTTTAAGAAACATGGCCATTATTGAAGGGACCACCAACTCTGCCTATACGTCGAGAGAGGAAGAGCGTCTGTCTGTCCACTTGTATTGTGCAAACATTCGAATTTCTGAATACAGTCGCCGACTGATTTTTCGAACTCGGAGGGGCCCCGAAATAGTCCAAATAATCAAACAGTCCAAAAATCGATTTCAGCCAAAATATCGAATTTCTGTGCATATTCCACTGTTATTGGCCACTTTTCACTTGCTTCATATCAATTTGAAATTCTCGTGCAACTTCCGCTTTATGTTGTTCCTTTTTCACTTGTTTGTTGATCTGTTTGATCATGGTGCTGTGCTTTGTTGGCGCCTTCCTTGGCACAAACAGCGAAGTTGAAGTTGGCGCCACTTGGCACTATTTGTAGACAACGTTTAGTCCACCAAGCTCGCTTCAATACTGATCCTATCGGCAAAAAACCTTCGCACTCAAAGACAACAAGAACGGCAGACGGCCGCTCTTCTCACGGTCGCACTCGAAAAACACGGACCACGAGTAGAACTCGAAGAGCCATAAGAGTGGGCAGGTGGTGGCCATGTTGGCTAGAGCAGAACCAGAAAACCAGACTATAGCCTCAACCCAGCTTGTTTATTGCGTAGGACGCGGTATCCAGGCTACAGGGCAAAATCAAAACAACCAAAATGGTGGTGACTAAGCTAGTGCGCTATCACGTCAACTGTTTTGTGGTTGTTAACTGAGGAAATCACGCAGATTATGTCAGAAATATAGAGCAATAAGCTTTGTGGCGTCCGAAATTTCGGTCAGTGTTATACATTAACTCTATGGGGCTAGTGACGTATTGGCGAAAACATCCGAATAATCGGACGTGTCCAAAGAATTGGCGTCCGAAAAATCTGTCGGCGATCGTAGTAGTTTTGAATAATACACTATTCGATGTTCGCTTCGAGATTAACTGCGACATGCATTCTTTTCGAAGTGTAGATCGCGGCGGGAAAGCCCCGTTGAGCACGGTTCTTACTGAGCGCTGGTGTACTGCAGAGAAGCAAAACCTGCAAAAGCAAGGTCTGTGGGTGTTGCTTCAGTGCTGTACTCCGGTGCTCGGTAAGAAATGGGCTGAATGGAGCTAAACCGCCGTGATATGAATATTGCACCCGCATGCTTTGGAGAAAAGCACTCTTTCAAAGTAGGATGGTGCACGTGCGTGCCTGGTTTATTTAGAAAGAACCGAGAACTTGGTGAATGTTAATATATTAATTGCAGTAAAATTTAATTAAACTGTATGGCGATTATGCAAGTATATATTAGGCAGACATGTCCTAGCTAACAACCTGCATTCATCATTTGTGATTTTTTTTTTCTTCAAATTTGGGATTGAAGAAGGGTTACTTGCATAGAGCAAGAAAATTTATAAATTCACTCAATTAGGTATAGCTGAGCATCTCTATAGGCTTAATTTTATGTCAAATCTGTCATGTACTTTCCACCCCATTGCAGGCATTAAACTTTCTGAGGCCATAGTCCGCAAATATTGTCGGATCAAAATCAGCTTAGAAGTGAACAAGTATAGGCTTGCAAACAACTTCCATGCATTCAGCTGGGTTTTATTTAAGCATGGTGCAACAGTAGTGAAAGGCTTAAAGAAATTGTTTGATATTCGCTCCGAAAATATTCACCCAATACCACTATTCGCTCTGAATTCGCTTTGATCTCGAAATCCTCAACACGCACGTGCCTGCCATCCGCACACTACATTGCATTATGTCATATCCGCGTAGTAATGAGACACTACAGCCCGAATACTCGTTGGTATATTTTCCAGAACATCAGAGTCTGGCTTGCGCCATCAGTCGCTCGCAGTTCTATGAGTTTGCGTGCTCAAAGATCACGCGACACTCGCAGGCAAACCAATCTTCTTCTGTTCGTGCACGAGTGGCGCTGCGCTAGACATCACACTCCTTCCCCCTCAGATGCCGTCGCCGTATCTTTGAGGAGGCCGCCTTTGACGTTGAGGCCTAGACAAACCCGTTGTTTTAACCACGTCTGGAACAGGAAGGATGTCCGATTGAGCGTCTGGGACCTCTTGCTCCTCGGTTGGTGCAGGTCCCTCAGTGGTCGGAATGGTCCACTGTGCTGGCACAGCTTGTAGGCCATTATTAATATTTCGTGTTGCAGAGGATCCCGTGACCAATTTTTCCGAAGAGTCTGTTATAGTGTTCCTTATGTGGTCTTCATGTCACCGTACCATACCTTGTTCTGTTTTGATGATCCAAGAACGAGGTCCCAGTCTTCTTAATATGGTTCCTCGGATCCACGATGGCTTTCCAGCGAAGTTTTTGATATACACTTCTCGGTTAGCCGAAATATTTCTTGGGGACGTAGTTGACTCCTACGTCTCCTCATCCCTCCCTCTGGCTTGTGGATGTAGTAGAGTGATTGCGGTTGACAACTCATGACCAAACATTAGCATAGCCGGAGTCTTTCCTGTTGTGAGACTAATCGTTGTGTGCTGTTTCAGTAGAAATTGGGAAAGTCGGCACCATAAACTTCCTCTCTTGTCCTTAGACAACGCCTGTTTGGTTTCATACACCATCCTTTCCGCTTGACCATTGGTCGCCGGATGATACGGAGAACTTGTGACATGACGAATTCCGTTATTTTTAAAGAACTGTTCGGTCTCGTCTGACACTAATGACGTACCATTATCGCTAACAACCTTGCGTGGTACGCCGAACGTTCCGAACAAGTTACGAAGTTCCTGAATCAGTGAGCTGGAGCTGATACTTTTCCTTTGATGAACTTCCAGCCATTTACTGAAGGCGCCAACTGCTATCAGCAACATTTTACCTTCAATGGGACCAGCGAAGTCGATGTACAGTGTATCCCATCCTTGTCGCCAGTGTCGTATCCGCGTAGTAATGAGACACTACAGCCCAAATATTCGTTGGTATATTTTCCAGGTCATCAGAGTTTGGCTTGCGCCATCAGTCGCTCGCAGTTCTATGAGTATGTGTGCTCAAAGATCACGCGACACTCGCAGGCAAAATGATCTTCTTCTGTTCATGCGCGAGTGGAGCCGCGCTAGACATTACACATAGGTTGTTAAAGTTTCTCTCCATCACTCCCCAACACATAGATGACCAATGCCATCAAGAACTCCCTGGACGCCGGCCAGAGCGGCCACCCCGGGGAGGGCCCCATGGGCATCAGCGTGGCCATCTCCCCCACTACCTCCACCACCACCGTGTCCAAGGCCATCATCACCAATGCCTCCTTCAGGACCAAGAAACTGCCAGGTGTGGCATCCTTCCTTCCCCCTCTGTCACAAGTGCGCCTCTGTGTCACAAGTGTGACCTTGTGTTGCAAGTGCGTTTTTGTGTCACGAGTGCCACAAGCACAGCTTTTTGTCACAAGAACACTGTTTGTGTCACAAACACCTTTCATTCACAAGCATAGAGTTTGCTCCACGACTGCACTTTTCTGTGCCATAAGCATATGTTGCATCAGAAGCATGCTTTTGTGTCACAAACAACGAGCGCAGACTTTTTTCCACAAGTACACTTTTTGTGCCATACACATGCCTTCGTGTCACATGTATGTCCTGTCATAAGCACAGTGTTTGTGACAAATGCTTTTTTGCCATGTACAGTGCAATGTACCGCTTATAGCGATCAGTTTCTAGAATTTCTAGACTGGAAATAATCAGTTTCTAGTCCAGATACAACAATTATTGGTTTTAACGATTGAAATTTCGGGTTTTCTCATTTTCATTATAAGTGGGTTGCACTGTAGATGCCTTTGTTGCAAGCACACCTTCCTGTAACAAGTACCCTTTGCACATACCTTTGTGTCACAAGCACACCTTGTCACAGAGTTTCTGTCAGAAGTCACTTTTGTACCATCAGCACTCTTTCCCACCACAAGCATGCTTTCACATGCTTGTGACACAACACAAATAACAGGCATTATGGCCTTGTTATCTGGAGGTGTTGCTGAGCTACTCCCTGCACAAAGGAGGAGGGTTTCCTTTCTTGAATGAAAAGGAGAAATCGAGGGGCCATTCCTCTTTTCTGGCTCTGCATCAAGGCTTTTAGACACAACAGGGGGGCTGTTGTCAAGCGTTATGGTTTTAGATTGCGAGTTGTTTAGTTTTAGTTGCGGTGACTCGTGACTTGGATAATACTATTGGTTCGCTTGGTCACGTACAACTTCCTGCAATCCTTCTTAGGCACGGCCCCAAAAAAACGGTGGCAGCTGGCCTCACTGACTTGATTCTGCTGCGTGGCTAGAGTGACGTTATTCCGAAGCATAATTTATTTAGTGGCTGCGTCTTTAGCCGTCACTCCACAGTCATCATACTCGGAACAGAACCGGAGTTTGAGGGACCTCAGCTCTGGTTGGCATTGCCAAGCGTTAAAGCCTGGATCAAGCACACTTTGTTTGAATTAAAAAATTCTAGGCTGGTTGACAACGATGTGGCTTTGAAGTGCCAAGGACACGACCAGCCAGTGCCTAAGTGTGACAAGGTTTCCCTATGGTGACGTTTTTTGGATGAGTTACAGAAACCGAACTGGGACCATGAAGAAGAAGCGATAGGGAGGATGATTGTTCTTTCCTACTCGCAGTGTCTCCGTAGGACATCGCCGGGACTTCCGTGCGACGCTAGTGGGCGTTGGCTGCAACAGTAGTTTCTTTTTAACACGGAATTTGCTTTATCGGCCGACCTCCACGGAGTTCTGTAACATTTGGCTGTAATAGCCGGCTTTAACGAAAAACAAACACCAAAAAGCATTATGCCCACAAGGAACCATACAAAAATGACTTCCGTCTTGGCACCTTGAGATTGTGAGCAGAGTTCTTTGCGGACCGAGCTATCCAGGGTCGGTGGTCAGAGCACACCAAAGCGAACTCATTCGTGTGGCGCTCTGAAGACTCGGTCGCACGCTTTGCGGCCTTTCCCGTCATGCTGCGTCATCACGCGGCGTGCATCAGAATTGAGAGCGTGTCTTCGGTAGGGGGTGCCGCTCAGACGCCCTTCTCTTTTGCTCAGGAAGGCCTACCACACGTTCTGTGCTCACTAGTTTTCGTTAGCATGATCAAGCTTGTGTAATTTTTCTTGTTTTAATGTCCTTGGATACTTTTGATAAGCCTGAGGAAACTGATTATCCATCGTTAGGGGATATCCCTTTCTTTCTCGTTTAGATAATGTGCATCACTGTCCGCTGGGGAAGAAAATTGGTAATTGAAGGGGAACTGACATGGAGAACACTGTCGGTGCTCTTTTCGTGGAGGCCAGCACATAAAAAACAAAGACTGATGCCTGTTAAATGCTTTATGACTGCAAAATGTTCATTTCGAACACTAACTACTCCAGAGTGAGAACCAAATAACCTAAATTGTTCCTTCATACTAAATGATGTGCCTTAAAATTTTAAAGTTCAAAGTTAATCTTCAACATATACAATGTCATGGTCTCCTTTTTGGGAAAAGCTATGAAAGCAGTGTGAAAGGCCAGGGAACCAGTGCAAGCTGACAAGAGCAGCAAGAAAGCACAAATGCATAACAATTGCAAAGTTGTTTGCTATACTGTACTTTAAGTTTGGTGGTATTTTCAATGATTAAATGAGTAGTAAAAACTTCAGTGATAACGAAAAGTTTGCTCTACTGTAGTAAAACTTCAATGACTATCATGAGAAGTAAGTCATAAAATAATATACATTTAAGAGTTCCACAATTAAAAACATCTCAATTGACTGATAGTACCCTACAAGATGACAGACGACACTGGCTCATGTTCTCAGGCATGATCCTGAAGAAACACCTTTGCTTTGTGGCAGCACCACAGCACCGTAGGAATATCGTAGGAAGTAGCACTGGCATGGTTTTGCACTGGAACGCCAGAGTTTTGCGATGCTGTGCTAACTGTGCACAGGTGAGAGGAGCAAAGTGTTAGCAGACGGCGCCAGGCTTAGGAGGTCCCTTTCGGCGTCCATCAGGGCACAGAGTTTTCTGGAGCGGTCCTCCAGTCTTTGGTGAGCAGCTCGACATCATCGAAGCACTTCCACCGCTTAGCACCTCATCTTGAAGCGGTCTCGGAAACATTTCATGCCTCAACTTGTCGTCCGCACGTTCCTGGCCTTCCCATGTCAGTGACAAGGCGTCTAACATCTCACCGGTTCCACTCCTGTTGCACCTCATCCCGAAGCGACCTCTGTAAAAATTTTGTGCTTCAACTTGTCATTTGCATGCTCCTGGTCTCCTACATTGATGACAGACGTCTGCCACATTACCAGTTCTGGTTCCCGCCCATCTCTGTTCCACATCAAAACATGAATCCGTCGTGCATCTATCTCTAATATTGAACCCTCCTACTAAACCTTGAAAGCTTTGTGGACCTTGGAAGCTTTAATTTGGCCTAAAGCAGGTTTGAGGACTCCAGAACATGGAATTCTTAGGAATTTCTAGGAGCAATGTCTCATCATAGTGGTAGCTGTCCCATTGCACAGAGGCAAGGCAATCTATTCAAACCCCTCTAACAAGGTAGAGACGTAACATACTTTGTATTTGGTTTTCTGCCTGTGCCCCTATAACAGTCCATGGTTTGTCATGTTGCTGAACCATGTACAGTCAAACCAGACTATATGGAACCTGTTTACATCGAATTATCCCTTATATTGAAAATTTTTTGTGCACAGTAATGTTACAGTGATAATAAATAGCAAAAACTATGGTCACATCGAACAAAAATAGCAGCCGCTATCGATATTTCGAACTGCTAAGACCGCCATTTTTCTCTGCAAGCTGGCTTTCCCCCAACACGAGTAGTCACATTTTGGGAAAGCCAGCTTGCAGAGCACGCTGGCTTTTTTTTTTTTTTTTTTTTTTTTCCCAAACAACGGCGTTGATTGCTTGTAAGAAAAAAAAAAAATCTCTTTTGCGAAGGGAGCGGGGAGAGGGTGCTTTGTGCTCTTTCTCCCCGCTCCATCCGCAAAAGAGAATATTATTTTTTCTCCCGGGTGGTTGACGCCGCTGCCGGGAAGAAAAAAAAGCCAGCTTGCTCTGCTAGCTGGCTTTCCCCCAATGCAGCCGTCTGTCTTAGGGGAAAGCCAACTTGCAGAGCAAAACGACGCTCTGCAGGAGAAGGTGCTCCTGCTCAGATGTGCTCCGTGCTCTCGGCATAGTTCGGCGCTAATGCGCTAATATAGAAGGCAGCAGCCTCAGCATTTTGGAGTCCGTCGATAGCGTAAAATATATTGTTAGCACAGATGCAATGAAGAAAAAGCAGCAGGGGGTGTAAGACGATTTCATTGCGTAATATGTAGGCAGAAAATGGATTTTTGAGAGCCGAATTCATTAAAACTGTTATATCGAATTATGCTATATATCGGACTAATTCCCGTTTTTTTTTTTTGCAAGTTCGATATATGCGGGTTCGGCAGTAGACTAGGCAAGCAAGCAAAAATGAATGACATATAATAAAAGTAAACTGTCTGGACATTTGGCCTGTTTTAGGGGAAGTTTGGGAAATGATGTTGAAGATCATCACCGCACTATGCTATCTGGAGCGAGGGCTCTTACTTTATACAGCTTAACCATCATCTTGCGCACCTTCCCAGCATTTGTACCCTGACCTCGTAGGCTGGACTGCAAACTGACAGTATCCCCATGATTACACTCCAAGGAATTGGGTAATTTTACCTGTGGTGCGACATGCCAATTTGTCGTTGTGTGTTTCTATAATTATGTGCACCTTCCTTACTTTGATCAAAAACAAATACGAGTGATGACCAAAGTGTGATGGCAAAATGTATGTTTCGCCTGATCCTCCGAGTTTTGCGTACCAAGAACGTGTGCTGCGTGTCCGCACAATTCGTTTGTCATCGGCTAGCCGCCTCGGTGGCTCCGAGGCGAGAGCGCCGGCCTACGGATCCCCAGGTGGCGGGTTCGAATCCCGACTGAGGTGCCCGCAATATGACGGAGGCTTAAATGCGGAGAAGGCGCCGTGTAACCGAGCTTTTGGTTGCACGTCAAAAGATCCCCAGGTGGTCGAAGTTAATCCCCAGTCCTCCGCTGGGGCGTGCCAGATGCCCGTCGTTGGTTTGGCACGTAAAACCCCCAAATTTTAATTTTTTTTCGTTTGTCATCGGCTGTCATTCTTCGCCGAACTGTCGACCTTATTTGTATTGTCCTGTCTGCGACCTTGTTTGTTGTCCGTATTGGGCTTGCAATCTTGTCAAACTTTCAGCCGGTTTAACTGTATCCTTCTCTAGAAATTTTATTATGCGCTGCCGCAGCTACAGACAGATTCCTTGCTACTACGATTGCGTAAACTGCTGTGCATGTGTTGGATATGTCATCCAGTGCGATATGTCATCAGTGCGTCATCCAGATGTTAAAGAAGGGTCCCAATAACGTCCCCTGGAAGTTTCATTGTGGTACACTCATCGTAGTCACCAATACTTACGGACAATAATCCCAGACAACTATGAATGACCCTTTTACTTAACCCGAGCGTGCTTTTGTAGCGCATTTTGGTGAATCCTCTATTCGCCGACCCTTCCCGATGCCCTCGCAGACGACATTCCGATCCCCAAGGAAGGGGAGAACCCGGTCCACGAGGGGCCCCTTGACGTGATCAAGGAGGAGGGGACGGCGGAGGAGGGCGGGGCCATGGCAGGTGCCAAGGCCATGATCAGCAACCTGCCCAAGCTGCCCGGCATGAGCAAGCTGGTCAAGAACATCACCCAGCGGCGGGACTCGGTCGGCGACAAGCCGGCTTTGGACTCTAAGCCGACGCCCAGGTTAGTGCCCCTCTTGTTCGCTCCTCCGGGGGGGGGGGGGGGAGGGGAGGGGGAGGGGGAGGGGGAGGGGGAGGGGGGGGGGGGGAGGGGGGGAGGGGGGGAGGGGGGGGGGGTAGAAGGCATCAGGCTCCTGAACTTTTCTTTTAAGTGCCTTGCTAGGTCATGTATGTAAGAATACTTCCCTGCCCCTCTTTCCAAAAAGAGAAAAAAAAGCTTGGCAGAATATTTACATTGGAAGACTTCTTTCGAATTAGGTGCAATTCCAAAGCATGTTTGGGAATCTTGATACCCTGAAGTAAGGCAATGCAGAAACAAATGGACCTTCTCATTTTTTTTCCCCCTTTTAATTTATAGCTTTTCTTGTGTTTAATGACAGCAGTTTTAGAGACCATTGAAGGTGCTCCACTTCCACTTTTTTTTTATTTTTCTATCTGCAGCGCACTGGACTCGCCTAAACAAAACGACGCCGCAACTGCGTCCCTTGTCGAAACGGCCAAGCGGGCAGCTCGGAACCCGACGGACCCCACGACGCCAGACCCTGCGGACCGCAAGGCCGCCAAGCCAGTGACGGAGAAGAAAGAGCGCTCCGCAGCGGCCTCCCGGGGGAGCGCTGCGACAAAGGAAGAAGCTGCGGCCAAGGACCAGCGGAACAAGTTGGCGGATCAACACCGAGATGTGGAGCCCCGCAAGTCCAACAAGACGTCGTCAGAAAAGGACTCGACGGACGCGTGGAAGTCCGGCAAGGCGTCGTCGGAGTGGAAAGAGGAATTGGGACCGACGCGGAACGGCGTCGAGAAGCGGGACTCGTTGTCGTCACAGCTCCAGGACACGGTGGGTTCAACGGAGTTGCGGAACCTTGCGACGGCCGAAAGCGTGACGAACCCAAGCAGCACCAGCGTGCTGCCGTACAAGAATGGCGGCGACAAGCAGTGGTCGACGCAAGTTTGAGAAGGGGCGGCGCCAAAGGCTCGAATTGCCCTCGGTGTCTGCATGCCGATTGGACGCGACGCGTCCTCGCTACATTTTTTCGCCTCTTGCAGACGGCGCAGCGAACGCTGCTAGACAGCTTTCTTCTTCGTCTCGCATTACGATGAACTGCAGGCTTGTTCATGCGTCTGCCGTGTCATTTGGAGATACTAGTGCTGATCTTGCTGATACAGCGCTGACTTTGCTCTATGTTTGTGATGCAGCGCTTATGCGGCGCTGCGTCGGTGCTAAGTTATGTTTGGGTCAGCGCCGCATCGGGGCTGTTCCTGATTCTGCTGTGTTGTATCTGTGAGCCAACCTTGCGGCCGAAACTGCGGGCTGCCAGATGCGACCACTAGTCAGTTAGATATCGCGTGGTCAGATAGCATCCTGCCACTCGTGAACAAGATGCGCCGTGGTTTCTAACCGACTTGTGATTGAACCCAGCAGCTCGTAACCTTGGCTGTAGTTTGTCGTAAGACGAGACTAAGCATAGCTCCCAGTCTTGAATGCGTTTCTGCCACGTAAAGTCTCTGATCGTAGAATCTCTCGACGGATCTTGGGACCTCGCGAGTCTGGCGTTCGGTTCGTCGCATTGTCTGTTCGGAGGCGAAAAGGAGCTCGGCGGAAATCGAAGACCCCACAGTGAGTGCCGTAACGTTGCGAGGTCGGCACGACTGGGAGAGGGTTCAGCCAGCCGTCGCAGCAACGTGTGCCACGTTGTATCATGGTCGTCAAGTCGCCGCTACATTCCGCCCGATCTGTTGTGTCGCGCGACTTCATAGGATTCGGCGTGTCGGAGTTTTCACATCGTCTGATGCGTCGGCTACCGGGCAGCTTGTTTCTTGTTCCTTTTTGCGGTGTACTCAAAGATGGTTTTAGATTGTACTTAGGTCATGTGGTTATTCGTTTTCGCCTGCTCTTACGGGGTGGAAAGAATCATCACCGACCGCGGTAGTTGAACGCAGTGGGTTCGATACACCAATCTTGTGATGTGCGTCGTGTTCACTCGTGGAAACTTCCCAGTAGCAGCGCTCGTAAAGGCAGGAAGGTTTGAGAATGAACGCATGCTTCCTCGGGGTGTACCAGAAAAATAATGCAATACACTGAAGAAAAAAAGGTTCCTTTTCGAGAGCTGGTGTTCGACGTGACTGTGCCGTCATCATTAGCGGGCCTGGTGTCGTCATAGTAGTGTGTCATCGTCGTGAAGTATTTTCGAGCGTTTTAAACGAGGAGGAAAGGGTTAGCTTTAGCTTTCTTTGGTCCGATCAAACCTCGATCCCGTTTGTTTTTAAGCGCCTCCTCCCGTCGGGTCGGCGTCCTGTACATAGCACAAATAAAGAGCCGACTCGGATTATCGTCATAATTCTTACAAGCACTCGAATGCCTTGCAGGTAGCACGTAACTCGCCGTAGAACGTTTTCCCGACCAGTAGTCGTCGTGCGCGCTTCGAATGTGGTGTCCGGAGCGCAAGTCCGACTGTTGCGTTCGCCGCTCACCCAAAAGTGGTTCCTCGATTTCCACCCGACAACAACAGCCAAAGCGTCATGCCGTCGCCCACCGCGATCCAGGTGGTGGCACGGTGGCAGAGTAGGCACCCGTTGCACTGCAGGTAGCTTTGCTGGCAGACGGTCGACGGAAACCAAAGCAGACGCGGGACGGGGTACCCCGTTTTCAATCCACGGGCGGGATGGGGCGGTAAACGCATCGGTCGAAGACTTGTTCTAGGCACCATACTTTGGAGCCCGGGTTGCAAAGGGTGATGCGCACACGTATCTCCATGTAGTAAGTCAGCGACGATCCAATAACCGAGGGAAGTGTTTCGTTTCCTCGCGTTGCTGCATTCAAGTTGTAGAAAGAAAAAGGGATGAGGAAAAAAAAAAAAAACCACAGATGTCTCCCGAGTGCCTATACCGTTTTCATGCTCTTTTAGGGTCAGTAGTACTTGTGAAACAAGAGAGCCATTTGAAGGGAAACTGGGATTAATCTATTCATTTCTCGCTGTCCCCATAGCCGTGTTCCTTGGTTGTTTTCTCTCGGCGCACTTTGTGCTCTTGATTGTCGAAAACTTGAATTCTGAACCCCCACGTCTCGGTGTGTGTGGGCTTTTTCCGGATTCCCTGGAAAGACTGAGGTGGAGAGCAAATTTGTTGTGCGATTGTGCTCAAACAGCAAAGTTTTGTTATTGAGTTTTTTCTTTATGTGTTTGCGCCGTGCATTGTAGTTTTTAATACCCCCTGCTACCTCCCGAGCTCTTATCAAGAAAATAATACTGCCATTGCTGAAAGGAACGGAAAAAAAAAATCTTGCACCGAACATACTGTCTGTAAATGTATACATGCACGCTTGTAGCACATTTCACGTCGTCACAAATATGGGGAACCAAATGTATAAAATCGAAATGCCTGCCATAATTTTGAAGAAAAAAAGTGAAAATGCTTAACAATATGGAATTTGTTACTTGCTAGGATACAAGTGGAAAAAGAATTATGCACAATTTTTTAACTGAATTCGATGCATTGGGTAACCTTCCAGTTGTCCGGACGTCTTGTCTGCATAGCTAGGCCAGCTGCAAGCTGCATCTCCTTATGGAAACGCAGTTGAACACCTCGGTGTCGCACGGTTGGTTAAAGAGGAGCTTAGGCATTGTTTTCTTTTGTTTAAGCTAGCCAAACTAACCAGGTCTTTGGAATACCCAGGCTTTGCTCTTCCCAGCAAGCTATTCATTATCTCTAAATTTAGAATAGCTACCGAGGAAACAATTAATAAAGATAATGCAAATAATGCGAAGGTTACGCCAAAACCAACATTCATAATTTTCCAGACGCCAGTGGGGTGATGTCACATGTACAATATGTCGAGCAGGCAATCTAAAAAACAATACTACGCCTGTTTTTTTTTTTTTTTTTTTTTTTTTTTTGTTGGTGCGATTTTTTTGGGGCATTTGTTTCACTTTATTAAACTTCTTGTAACTTGTCGGGAACAAGCTGCACTGCCCCTGATAGTACATTTAACGTCGTGTTTTGAGTGTTGCCAGCCTCGAAGCAAATTTGAAAATTCAATAACTGCAAACAAAAATTTACATGGTAACCCTGGAGTCGGGGAAAAGAAGGGACGTAGGACAGACAAAAAACTCTGTGTCTGTCCTACGTCCCTCCTTTTCCCTGGCTCCAGGGTTACCATGTCAGTGTTGAACCAGCTCACCTGCACCCTTGCTTTAGTTACAAAAATTATTTTGACTTGTAATTTGGGTTACTATTTTGGGTCTGTCTATTAATGTCATAACCCAATGTTAATGTCATGAGCCAATGTTGAGGCGGATCTGTGACGCTTCAAAATTTCGCCAGGGCTCTCTTAGAAAAAAAGAAAAAGAATACCCAAGTTGACAACAAACAACCTGCACACATTGTCAGTGCCTGTTTTCGGGTCGTCGATAATCATCGTCGCGGGTAGCGGCGCCATTACGAAGCTCATGTCGCTGTTGTTCCAAACATCTCTGAGTGTTAGATTGAAGCCAAGGTCGCTCTTGTTGAAGTAGTGTCTAAAATAGTACCAAATATGCATATATATTACTGTGGGTGTTATCGGAGGAAAAATGTATATAGGTATAAATATATACAATAATAAATTGTTGGCAATGTTGATGATTTGACTTTGTTTTACGTTGTCTCGGGGCCACATGAAAGGGTCTGCCCCGGCAAAATGTTTCATCTTTAGCGTGTAACCATTTTTTTTAACTCTGGCACATTATCCTTATAGCGTCTAATGCCGAATTGTAATTCTTTTTTTTTTCTTTTTTTGTCACACTGGAGGGGTTTTGTCATCTTTGTGCACGTGCGAGTGAAAGCACATATTCAAATCTACTCAGTGGGTTGCTCCTGCTCTACTGGCTCTACTCTGACATGTTTCAGTGGCGCCCTCTTATGGTTTCCCTCCGTGACGTCACAACCGAGGATTTCCCCGCCGTGGCGTAACGTTGCTTGTAAAAAAAACGGTGGAGGCTAGGAGCAATAATGGGAAGTTACCGGTAAAAAGTAAGTGTTACAGTTATCTAGGGTGAAAAAGTAACTTACAGTTACCAGTTTCGAAACCTAACGTGTTAGTTACGGTTACTGTAACAACAATAACGCGTTACTTGTTACAGTACAAAAATTGGACTGAAGAAATTGCAAACCGAAACTATTTTATTTCCTGCATTATAGTGAGAAGAAAGGTAAATTGAAAAATTTGAGAAGAGAGGTAAACAAGAAACACCCCGATAGAAGGACAGCGAAAAGTCCTTCCATTGGGGTATTTCTTGAGGCTATCAACGAAAAAGGCAATTGCACTCGAGCCTGCCTTTGTGTTTACTCGAGCGGCTCCGAAGATAGGGACGGCTGAAACGGCGACCTGCTGGGTATAAAATCGTCAGCACAGACATAGACGAGTCCCGGACAAAAGCTCACCCATTTTTTCACAAACCCGGACAGAAAATTTTATGTTGGTCTTAACACGTGCGCGGACAACTTAGGTGCATGCGTGCGACACTAAAATGCAACGATAAATTAAATCTGACAGGCATATAATTTGTTGCTCAGAGTAGAAACAATTTTATTTATCGATTGGTTAGAAGCGAATGCAGTCCCCCACTAGCTCCAGCAGGCTTGGTAGGTCTGGGTGTACCTGTAATCTCGAAAATCTTTTTCACGCGATTCTGCAGGCGCAGAGGGGTTTTTCGCACCCGCTTCTCTGGAACTTCACCTCTGCTGTGTCAATGCCGTGGCAACGAACGCCTGATTTTCCTGTGGGCATTCAATCACCATTTAGACGCTTGGGTGGGCGTGGTCGAGAAACTTCTGAAACCCGGTATTCCACCCTTCGCAGGTGTATGTCCGGTATTTATCTTGAAGAGTGGCGTCGTACATATTCCACTGTTCCGGGGGAAGCTCCGGTCGTCGTCGGCACGCAGTCAGGCAAAGGAAAGAATTCGCTTCGGGTGCCGCCACAGAAGGAGCAGAAGCATAACGGAAGGGGCCGTTGACATACGTGCAATCAAAGTAGTCCAGCAGGTCGCCGATATCACCGGTAGACATTTCCCTGATGTAGGTGAGTCCTTCGGGCACAAGCTGTGGTGGAAGGAACGCGAGCCTATCCAAAATCCCGCACAGCTTTCTAAACTTGTCATCTGTCCAAAAGGCCACACCCCAGTTCCTTGAAAATATTTCTAAAACTTCGCAACTCAATGGTTTGTATATTACAGTTGTGCTTCAGTTTCCTTTTCACTACACCCTGTACTTGATTTCAAATACATTTACGACGCTCAATGACGAATTTAATTTTCCTAACCATTCACTTCAAATATTAATCTGAACCCCAAGAAAACCCATGCATTAATAATGAAGACACATTGTGCCTAACCTTTATGGGCGCGTTCAGCGTGCCATAAGCACAACGAAAAAGCGAGGTCGACAAAGGGTGATTTCGCTTTTTCGGTTATTCCTCGGGCTCAAAAACTTCGGTTCACGACGTTTCTTGGGTGCTCCGACATACCTTGAGTCAAGCAAGCTTTATCTTATCAGCTACACTCAGTTTGAGTGACCTAACTTTTGGTCCTACATCGTTGCTTCCTTGCCTGTTTGGCTCATCTGTCGATACCTTTGCATGGGATGGGATGGCACTTTTCCTAAAAATGGTGCAATGTCCATCGCGTCCGCACTTTATCCCAGCCCGTCTTTCGCCCGGGGTAACAGAAAAAAGAAAAGGTGAGCTTTTCTCCGGGTCTGAAAAAACGGGTGAGCTTTTGTCCGGTGAGCTTCTGTCCGGTGAGCTTTTGTCCGGTTACCGACATAGACAGGGGAAGGGAGAGTGGTGAAGGGGGGTGCCGAGAGCCCAGACAGAAAACCCGGAGACATGTCGCACGACCACCGACACCCGCAGATGGTCCCCACAAAAAAAGAGTGAGCCAAAGTCGGTAAAACAGACATTCTTTGCCGCCCCTGCCACCGCGGGCGCCGCGTCCTTTATCTCCCGGTTTCCCGCTGACTCGTGTCCGTCGTCCATTCTCGGTCGTGGGCTAAACCAGGCATTTTTTGGTTCGTTTGACGCGTGGCCACGCTTCTTGTTTGTGTGTTTCTTTGTCAGCGAGGATTTTCGCGAAAATCCTCGCTGAACTGTAATGGCCTAAACCGTTACAGTTACCCAATAACAAGTAACAGTGTGTTACAAGTTACAAGTTACCAGTTTTAAAGAGTAACGCGTACACAGGTACAAGTTACCAAAAAAGTAACTGGTTACCGGTAACGCGTTACTAGTAACAAGTTACTGCCCAAGACTGGCTTGCAGCCATGGCGCTCTTAAATCAACGCCGTCGAAGTCTACAGTCTGATAACGTTCTTATGCCCTTTCGTCTGTCCAATCGCGGAGAGCCAGCTACGGCGGTGCATTTGGTCGTGCACATCGCTGATAATCGGGCGCCGTATTTGAGTGCGCTGTTACTGCGCACGTTCAGAACGAGTTGGGATTTATACGAGTAGAAACGAAGGGAGAGGAGGAGACGAGAGCTCGCGGGAACGTCAGAACGCCAAGTTCTCTCGGTGTTTTGACCATTTGACGTTCCCGCGCGCTCTTGTTTCCTCCTCTCCCCCTGTTTCTACCCGTATAGACGTTTGCAAGTACGGCCTCTGGGCGCCGCCATCTTGCTCCTGGTGTGAGTAAATCGTCTGATAGTCGAGCATTGCCGAGGCCGCGGGTGCGCTTGCAGCAATGCTCGACTATCGGACGATCTAACCCCACCAGCACCAAGATAGCGGCGCCTGCAGAGGCCGTATCTACGAACGTCCATACTCTTAATGGTGAATTCCACTCGTAGATCTGGAGCGCTTTCCAAAATCCGCGAGGGAGGCGAAATTCCGCTCCGTGGGACCCGCTCCGTATCGACGAGGGGAAGATAAACTTGCATTTTTGGAGCGACCTCCCCCACACCCCTCCCCACCCCTTCTCCTTCCGCCGTTCAAAATGGCCGCTGCTCGAACTTGACCAGCCCACCAACGCCTCAGCCGGCTGATCTTTGTGACGACTGTCACTGCTTAGCTGCAGAAGTAACACGCGACACAGGCCGGGCGGAATTATACGTACCACGGCGCCCATGTCACAAATAGCGAAGACGTCCGCGTTCGGCACCGTCACATACCTTTCGGCCGCCTCGAAGCGGCGGGGCACGGACAGCGATTGCCAGCGGTGGAGTTCAGATTGCTAGTACGACTTTAATAAACACAGAGGTAACAAACCATCACTTGCGCGGTCGTTGCCTAACCACTTCTTGCTTTATTTCACGGGAAAACGCCGATGGAATGCAGTGTAAAAAGGTAAACAATCACTGGCTGCAGAATGAATAGGCCTAACCTTGCGTTTGCCTCCGGCTTTTCTGTCGTTCTTCCTCGGTGATCACAGATGTCAGCGCTTACGATTTGCCACGCTCCACATTCCCGGCTTTTTATCCCTGATCTACGCGAGGTAGAAGCGTTCGAGCCGTCACAGTCCAGAGTAAACAACCGACGCACCCGAACAGATCCAACTCCACGACCCGACCGTGGCCCGACCGGCCCGCCAATCTCTCCAACCTCGCCGCGCATGCGCACCAGAGGAGTGCAACTTCGCCCATGGAACGCAAATTGGAAAACCCTGGGAGGCCGCAGCGCCATTTGAATCCCCTGGTATCTGGTGGCTGTACTAAAATCAACATGGCGGCACAGCGAAACCAAAACCGAAACTGCACGGCAGCGCCATTGTGTTTGGATGGATGGGCGGTAGCTTGCGCCACCTAGAGTTAAAAATATATATATTGTAGCTTTTTTTTTTTTTTTTTTTTTGCTTGCCCGGTTTGCGCGTTGCTTTGCTAGGCTTCTGCTGCTGTGCGGCTGGTTTTCGCATTTCAATGCTGGTTAATGTGCGTTGAAACGCACACAAGCCAGCACTGAAAAGCGAGACCAGCAGCAAAGCAGCAGAAACCTAGCAAAGCAACGAAAGTGACATATACACAAAAAATATGCAATGCTTGTCCTTTTGCGCTCATTTTTATTCAACAGACAGTAGAAAATACAGACAAAATTTCTCACTGTTTTGCACACGAGAAACAAAGAAATGAACAACAAAACAGGATAAAACGTTACGGTTACGTGCGACGAAGGTGATGATATGCGTCCTTGCAAATTTGATTATATATGTAAGCATATAAGTAAAGACCGACGACGGTGTCTTAATTGCAACTAAAGGAAACTAAGCAATGAGTACCAAGAAAAACACTCAGCTCTTTGGTATTGAGTCTTCATCGAGAACCTGCCCATTCTTTTTTAATATTATCACTTAAATTTAGGAGTGAGTCACTGCTAAACGAAACGGGAAACCAGAGCGGATCGCTCTATCGCTCATCCTCAGTTAATCGAAAAATATTTAGGCTCATATTTTCACTCCTCGCGAACAGACGTGTGAATCGCTGACAACAGTGCCAAATAAACAGCTCACAGCAGAAAGTTTCCCATCTTTTAAAGTGAGCATATGTGCTCGATCTTGATATGACAAAGTCTACACAGAAGTCTCCAGACAATGACATATTTCTCGCGGCGAGTGAAGAGCAATCCTGAACAATGATGGGATTTGGTTTTGTGAT